ATTTAATAAGCATATTTTTTTCTTACCCTGGATCTTTTTACTGCAGGCAGTCAGGATTGGATACGAACAATAATTCATTGCAACAAGAGCCAAAAAGACACGCAGAGCATTCGGAAAAGTCAGATGATCTATTTCTTTCAAAACTGCCATCTAAAGTGAATCAGAGTTTATTAAATCCTTCATTCTTCTGGTATATTATCACTGCTTTCTGGTGAAGACATTTTCACCAAAACTTTCCCAAATTCCTTAGTTCAGATTTATATGAAAGGAAAAAAAAAGCAAAAAATAGCAAAAGCATAAAGTAACCACTTTCAATTTCTTAATATACAATTTTAACAGGTCAAGCGCTCTAGAGATGTGTCACTATGCAAGTTCCCAGCAATTTGCCTTTATACGCTTCTTTTAAAAGAAAGAAGCCTCAGCAAAGGTCATTTCCAAGTACTGTGAATATGTGTCTTCTGCAAACTCTTAAAAAAGTAGCAGAAACAAAAATGGCACAGTTGACTGATCTGCATGCCCATGAAAGCTGTAAGCCTCCAAAGTGATCCATAGTACACCAAGCGGCCTATCTTTAAATATAAACACCCAGCTACAAATGTGGACCAAGGCAGAGGTGGTCAGCTCTGTTGCCACAAGAGAGATTTCATTTATTGAAGCAGTAATTAGATTGATATAAATGACAGTAAAAATGAGACTACAAAATCTATTGGCTACTAAAATACAATATTCTTACTGCATGCATATCAAAGGTTAAATACAAAATGCACCTACAATAGAAATTACACTGTAAAAAAACCAGCACCCTGTGGGCTCAGAAAATTAAGAGCTGCCTTTAGCTAACAAGTGTAAATGTTATTTTCCTTTCAGTTTTATGATATTTCATGAATGCCATTACTAATTGTGACCTCAGTACCCTTCAGTTATGTGATGAAAACACAGCAGGCCTTGTTTGAAAAGTGGTTTCAAAAAGGATTTTTAAATCAGGTGACAAACCTCAGTACACTCTGCCATAAAACCTAACGCCTGCTCCCAACCTCACTCCCATCAGTCCTCCATCCCCTTACCATTACTAGACACAGCCCCATCATAGACCAGTTTTCTGTCGCCTTGTCTTCCAGTCACAAGCTGGGCAAGGGAATCAGGGAATAGCCTTTAAATGCTTCTATGAAACACCATGTGGCCAAACCAAAGAGCCAAGGGCACTGCTATTTTACTGCCTCAACTCCTTTTGTTCCCAACCTCCAAATTTAAGTTCTTCCTGCAGATATATCTGGACTATGATTCAAATTGTAAATAGTTACCTTTCTATTATATTTTCTCTTTGAGAAAGAACCATACACAATTTATAACCAAGGCAAGAGCACAGGCTTTGTGGAAGTAAAAATGAGCCTCCAACTAAACTTACCTCTAATTTCTTTTTCAGAAAAACCGGAACATCTTTTCCCATGCATTTCATCAGGTTTTGCAGAATAAAGATGTCTTTGATACTTGAAATGCGCTGCTCCACTAGTAACCTGACGAAGAAACACACACAAGAACTTTCCTCACTTCAGCAGAAACAGCAGGTACCCCCATTCTTCCTCACTGATGTACCCCTAAGTTAAAGCTGTAACTCCCTGCTCCTCTCCCACCTCCTTTTTTATGCAATATTGGCATAACTCTACATGATGTAGCTGCAGCACAGATATTTTACGCATAGAAATAATTTTATATGCTTTCTTAACATTATCCTGATAGATGAATGCTGTTGCTGATATATTAACAGCAGGGGCACCTGACCAGACTGCGTATGTGACTGTGTAGATGTTAGTCCCGTTAAGCGTCAAAGAATTAACATCCTTCTGCAGAAAAAAAAATTGTATATTTTTATCTCAGAATCATCTATGTGCAGACAAGTTCTGAAACTGCCAGGAAACTCAGGAACGGACACTGACAACCATTTGTTGCAAGTGAGGAAAGAAAACAAACAAGCAGTGCTGTGGGCTGCAAGAACAGAAGGGGATATCGCAACACAGAGGGATCATAAGCACAAGATGAAGGAATTCTGCATTCCTAGCACCTACTTTTCTGTCTCAGAGGGTAGTATTGTAATTGTTCTGTCCAAACAACCCTTAAATATACCTGCACAGCTACAAATTATGAAGTGTCACTTTCTAAGGCAGTGCACTGGTCTGAAATTCACCCCTGCAAATAGGTAAGAGCTCCAGACATCAAGACAGAGAGAGAGCTGTAGATGGCTCTCCTGCTTTGCACCAACTTTTAAGGCACATCCACCTTCTCAAAGTAGAACCTGACCCAGGATCAAAAGTACTAATCCATGGCAAGTTTTGTGACAGCCTCAGTAAGAACAATCTTATGGGACTGAGCAGCTTGGTTAGTCACATAAATCGCATTGGCCCAGAAAAAATTCACTACAGCCAAACAAGTTATTCTGATAAAGCACTACAGAGAAGGACTTTCTGGATGCAACTAGTCTTCATCCTAATTTTTACTTACTAAATTAAAAGAAAACATTCCCAGGCTGCTAAATAGCATTTTTAATAATGAAAAATCAAAAATACTTCAAAAAGTAAGCTAGTCTCACTACCTCCCATTTACACACAGATAAAAGAGGGATAGATACGTGAAGGGACTTAAAATCTCAAAAAAACCACACTGGCGGAGCTGCAGCCAGAACACAATCCCCTGTGGACCAGACTAGCACCCTATACTACTGGAAGCCCTCCTGCTCAAAACTGCAAAGACAACGCCAAAAATCACTGTGTAGGACAGCTCTTATCTCACGTGATCGTTTAAATCCTAAAAGCACAATATGTGTTCTATGCGCAGACATTCCCTCGATGATTTCTAACAGACATGTATTCTAACAACATTGAAATAGGAAGAACACATGAAAGATATGTTTTTCTCACTGTAATCCAGCTTGAAGAGCGCTCACATTCTTGTCTTTATCCATCCCTGATAAAGTAGTTGCCAAAACGGAGACGCATCGGTTATCGAGTTGATTGAGCTTCTCCTGTTAAAGTTTCCACAATGTCAGATTACTTCAAACCAACAGAAGTTTCAGAAAAGTAAAACTGACCACTCTTAATCTGTACCTTTTTTTTTTCCCCCTCAAAAGTCAATTCACAAGCTTTAATTCTGCAGTGACCCCCACAAGGACTCACATCAAATTCAGTTGATTTGAGAGGGGTAATGATTTTTGAGACTTCTCCTCTCTGTTAAATCTGAAATCAGGCAGTGGTTTCAAAAACGAAGGAGACAAGAAGTACAGACAAATGAATTATGGGAACCCTGTTTCCATGGAACATCAGACTAAGCCAGGGATGTAACCCAGTTCTCTGATGCTGCACAGACTCCCAGAATTGCCCACGAGGTTTCAGCCCAGATTTAGGAGAAGGATCTTCACACTCACTTGGCACACTCTCAGCAAAGTCTGGACCAGGAGCGTGTTCTGGGGCACCCCGAGGTTCACCATGGCGTGCAGGCTGAACACCAGGTCCCCGCGCGTCATCCTGCGGGAGTCCCGCAGCAGCTGCTGGCACAGCTTGGCGAAGGCCGGGTGCTCAAAGATCAGCTGCTTCTCGTAGCGCTGCTGCTCCTCCGACATGTGTTTGAAGAGTCTCCAGGCAGTGGTTAAACAGTTTGTGTAATGCTTGATGGAGACAGCAGACTCGGAAGCCAAGTCCAGCGCATCGCAAGGACAGGTGCATTTCCGGAGACTATTAAAGAACGGGTCATCATGATCCACTACATGCTTCGCTTTGAAGCTCCCAGAATCATCCAACTTTTCAGCTTCCAAGGAGCTCTGGGAAGCCTGCTCACTCACCAAAGCCTCTGCACCTGTGCTAAACACATCCGTCTTTTGAGATAGAAATCGAAGTGATGATCCATGCAGAGAAGGAAAAATATTTAAAAATAACTCCCTGAAGTTCACATTTCCCAAGGGATCCCTGTATCTGCTAATCCATAAAATGTGTTTTCTTGTTGTGCCTGAAGATCTGGGAGTCAACACAGAACTGTACCTATGCAGGTATCTAACAGTATTTAACAAATAACTTATTCTCTTATTCATTTTTGCTAATTCCTCATGAATAGACTTGAAATACCAAGTCAAAATAAGGGATCCGATGAAATTCTACCAGTGGAAACAGTTCCGGAGGAAGTGCATAAGATTACTCATCTGTAAAAACAATTGAAAATTATGGGTTAGTTACCAGACTTTGAACTCCTACAATTTCAACTGCCAAATCTATGCACTTTTACAGGAGGGGACAAGATTTGGGAAAAGATCCCTGGAAAATGAGGGGCTTTTATTCGGTCTCCTACATTTCAGCCAAACATCTCGGCACAAGGCAAACTCAGCCCGGGTGTCAACTGTTTCCTCCTCTTTGCTGCTCTAACCAAAAGCCCTGCCGGGAGGCACAGGCTTTTCCTAAATGACGTTTCCCAGGCAGACGCGTCTCCCGACAGGGCTCTGGAGGGTCCCCTTTAGCCCCGGGTAAGAGAATCCCGCCCGCGAGCCTGGCCCGACCTCCTTGCCGCCATCCGCCGGGAAAGCCGCCTGCCCGGCTCACCCGCGGGATCACTCCCGGGCGGGGGACACCAGGCAGGGAGAAGCCGCAGGGTTTCGGGATCGCTTCCCCCAGGCGCCAGGAGCGCTGCCCAGCGGAACAGGACGGCACAAGGAGACAGAGGTCTTTCGGCGGCTCCGCACCGGCTCGGAGCTCCCGGACGCAACGGCTGGGATCGCTCCGGGCCGGGCCGTGCCTGGTGCCGCTCGCACCAGCCGAGCCGTGCCGGGACCGGAGGGCCGGGCTGGGCCGTGCCGGGGCTCCCGGCGAGCGGCGGCCGCCGTTACCTCGCACGCGGCGCCGCCGCCATGACACCGCCCGCTCCCCGCGCGCTCCCGGCAGGCCTCGCGAGAGGGATGGCGCGCGGCGAGGGACAAACTACCTCGGCGCGCGGCGCGTTGCTGAGCAACGCCGGAGCCACCGTTGGGGGGCGGCGCGCGCATGGCCAAGTTCGTGGTGGCGGGTGAGGGGGGACCCGGGACCCGCGCGGGGCAGCGCCTCGTACCGGCACCAGGGACCCCGGGGCGGCCCCGGCGGCACCGCCTCGTACCGGCACCGGGGACCCCGGGGCGGCCCCGGCGGCACCGCCTCGTACCGGCACCAGGGACCCCGGGGCGGCCCCGGCGGCGGCAGCAGCAGCAGCAGCAGCAGCAGCACCTTGTACCGAGACCCGGGCGGGGCAGCCCCGCCGCGCTTGCAGCGGCTGCTCCTCATTGCGGGCTCCCCACCGTCCCCTCTTCAGGCTCTCCGGGCGCCGTGCCCACACGGCCTCAGCCGTACCCGAGTCAGCGTTTTCCCCTTATCCCGTCAGTGAGGCTTCATCCTCTGCTGCTGTCCCCCCAGGGGTGCCCTCCTCGGCCCCTTGAACGCTGTCTGAAGAGACTGTTTCACCTCCAGAGCTACCTTTTGCTGGCTCACATTAAACAATGGTCTTTTTAGCCCTTATCAGTCAGTGTCACAAAATCATCCATTTGTGCTACTGTTGCTGTGTTCACAGGTAAGGCAAACTGCCCTTACTATGCCAAAGCTGAACACTTGGCTGACTGTCTCCAGGCTACCTTGCCCAACTTCAGGGTTCACAAGATCACTCAGCACCCCGACAAGTGGGAGGTAAGGGATTGTAAGCCAAGTCACTGGCAGGTGCCCCAGTGCTCTACAAACCAACAAATGTGCTTATATGTACTGTGTTTATTCTCTTGTATTAGTGGTATTATATGTGGGTAGAGGTGCTGCAGAAGCAGCTTTGTCTGTGAGAGCCAGCCAGAGGAAAGGTTTGAATGTTTTGAGCAACTGGCATCACTGTGAGTCTTACCACAAAAGATGGGTACAAAGTGTGGGCCAGCCTAAAGGTGTGTTTTGTCAATAAAAAGTTCAAGGAGGTTTTTTTTGATTGGCCAGTTTTTTTGTTTTATGTATACATGGCATCTCAGCCTGTAAATCTTTTGGTCACTGTGGTTGCATATGCCTTCAGAGTTGTTACTTGTCAAGAGCATTTCTAGCAGTCAAGGGCTTTGAATTGCTATGGAAGTATGAAGTTAAATATCACATATTTGTTTACAATGTGGATGTGCCTTTCTGAATATTTGTGCTGTAGACATGTTGCCATGTCTACCCTGTAGTTCCTATAAGGATCTGAAAAAAAATGCAGTCTGACTTCATGAGATAGACAGTACCACGATGTTTATTATCTCTTATATTTTGCTTGACGCCTCAGCCAAGTAAGTCAAACACTTAAGTGGAAAGCAATTAACCTCTTCACCTTACTTATCTTCTGCAGCTAAGTAATCCTCGTGTTACTCACTGCTTCACAACATTGCTATCTTCAGTATACTAAGGCAATTAAGCAAAATCACAGCAGAAGTAAGACCTTTAGGTGAGGTATCACTGTGTATCACCCTGCCTTACTTTGTACTGTTTCCCCATTTTGCACGTGCTGGTACATAAATTGTGGAGCACCTTGTAATTATGTATTGAGAGGAAATAGTAAGAATGTTTGTAGTTGTAAGATTTAAGTGTTATTTAAGTGTTAAAACCTTCTGGTGGGGATGTTTACATTAGCAGTGGCTTCATGACGTTTGTGAAACAAATGGATGGGAACACAGACAGTCTCCTATCATTTGGAGAGAACTGTTGGACCGTGGAGGGAAAGGTCAGCTTCTGGGAGGACTTAATGATTTTCTGGAATATGCTCAGGTAATGAGCTGCCTTTAATACTGTAAATCCATGTTTTATAACAGTGTTGTTCTTTATTCCTCCTTCAAATGTAAAATAAGGCTCTTGTTTGTAATGGTACCTTGCTGGGTGTGGGCTGCCATTTGATTAGAGGTTGTCCTTTTTCTTCTTAGCAATATTATGGCATCACTTCAATGATGTTGAGTAAAGAAATGTTAGACATTGCTGAGGAGAACCTACAGGCTCATCTTGAAATTGTAAAAGAGGATGAAAAGATTAAAAGTCTTATCAAGCCCATGCAGATCTGGATCACCAGGTGAGAGTAAAGAGAATATCTGTGAAGTTTCACTGAGCTTCAAAAGAATGCACTTTTTCCTATCACATATAGCAGGTGTAACCATCTGAAATTATGCACAAATCCCTGTAATTTGATGATTTGAATTAGGTTCTGTACCCCTCACTATGACAAACAAACTACTTTTGTTACACTTTGCACCAGTTTAAGTGAGGGTTGTGAAAAGGCAACATTTAGGCCCCAGATCAGTTTAGGGAAAAGCAAGTATTTACAATATAAGCTGGAAATTTTGTAGTGTAACTATCTTGCATTAAATATTGTTGGAAATATTTAAGTAGATAAAGTCTCTTGCTGTTCTACCTTTAGAAATTTCTATATTTTAGCAGTCCTAACAGAGCACCTTAAAAAATTGTCATTCTATAAAGACACCAATTTTTAAGTGACAGCATCACCTGAAATGTATAGGATGGAAAAACCTTCAAATTACAGGAGGACCCAAATGTTTTAATTCTTAACCTGTTAAAATGACAGAAAGAGAAGTAAAGGATCCAAGCTAATGGTCTATTTAAATGTGATCAAATACAAAATACACACCTTCCTAACAAGCAGTGGTTCATTGTTAACTTTTCTACATCCTCCTCTTATCAGTGCATCAACTCCAATCTGTTATCAACTGATCCCTCTGTTGGCAAATGGAGAAGTGTTTGGGATGACCACAGAAATCAGTATCCATTTGCTTGACACTGGCCAGTTTAAGGAAGTTCTTTGCAGTATTGTAATGGAAGCTGAAGACATGGCATTCCCACTTCTCCGCAGTATTTTGGAGCACACTGAAATAGATGAGGCTTTTATTGAAGCTGATGTTATTATTGTTCTTGATGATGTCCTCTTAAACCTTGAAGTCCAGTCCCTTGAGAACTACATCAGAGAAGTAAGTGAGATCTGTCAAGTGTATGCTCCCTTGATTGAGAAGAATGCCAAGAGTGAGGTCAGAGTAATTTCATCAGGAAAAACCTTTGCAAATCTTAAGGCGACGCTGATTATGACGTACGGCCCGTCCATTAAGCCTGAGAATATCATTGCCGTTGCGACATCCTGGGAAAGTGCAGCTAAAGCCACGCTGGCCAGGAAGTTGAATGTGAGCACAGCAGGTGAATATTTATGTAGCATTTGGGGAAATCAGTGCACCTTTGGGAGTGTGTATTTCATTGCAGAACACAGTTGATGTGCATGCCGAAATGCAAGCACAGCAGTGCACCCACTGAATTGCATGGGTGCACAGAATGCCAGGGTGTTTTTTAGTAGCTCTGGCATGCAGCCCTGCCACTCTGGTGTGTATTTCATGCTGGAAATATACTAAGAAGGTCTGAGTTGTGTTGCAGATTAGGAACTAGGATATCAAGGTTGCATTTACACTCAATAGTGCATTGTTATTTTGGAGACACACAAACTAGCTGTGATTAAACGTGGCAACATACTGCTGTGCAGATAATGAGAATAAAGTAGAACTGTGTTGTACTATTATTTTGGGGTTAATTAGCTTTCTTTCTCAGGTCAGTTGTTATAGCTTGGTTATATTTGCACAGTTCTGCACTGCATAGCAAAGGTGTGCTCTGACAGCCTGCTCACAATCAGGATTCTTTCAGTGTTGTAGGGGCAGAACTAGTCATTGATGGCAAGTCTAGATATTTTGGAACCTAATAAAATAGAAAAGTAAGTTAGGCTGAGAGGCCTATCAGCAGGTTATTTGAGAAAATTCTTTTCCAGCAAAGAAGGTGTTTTTTAATGACTTTTTTATTGTTTCTGTATTTATTTTTACAGGATTTTAAAATTAATATTGCTGTATATTTGCAATATGATTTGGTTTGGATTTTAAACACTAAGTATTTTCTGGGGTTTGTCTGTTATTTAAAATAGCATGATATAAGTTAAAATTCCTTTTTCCACTTGTGATGAGGTTTCATATATTATGGAGAACTTGGTTGCATTTTTCAGATCAGATAATTTCTGCTAGCAAGGCAGGGCACTGAATTGAAGAATAATTAATCTTGAAAGAGATTTGTGAAGGTCATCTAGTCCAGCCTACACTGTGAAAGTGTTTGTCCCTTCATTAATATATATATTTTCCTCTGTTACAGGAGTTAAAGATGTGATTGTTTGGGGCAATATTACTGGCTCAAACTACATTGATTTGTTGCATGCAAAACTTTATGGATATGATGGTGCTATTTGGGGCCCAGCTAATTTTCAACGTCCTTTGTTGAATATGATTTATGATAGGTACAGTACACATTTATTTCTGTAAAGTAAAAACTAAATAACTAAATTAATCCATATTTTTCTGAACTGGGTGATAAAGCATCAAGAAAGGTTTTTGTTTCCAAGATTTGTCTTTACTGATTAGCACTGTTTTAAAGGGAAATACAAGTTGAGGTATTCCATCCGTGAAAGAAGTTGAGTAGTTCCTAGCACTGTACATAGTTCTGGCTCTCCTGCCAATTTTGTTTATAACTGTATTTTCCTATATTTTAAGTGGGTTTCTCTTCTATCATATCATGGGCAGTTTATAAGAAGTAATGACAGTCCAGACAGTGACTTAGATATCTAGCACGCACAAAGAAACTTTGAAATAGTACTAAACAGATATTTGTACCTGAATTACATGAAACATTCAGCCTGAGCACACTAATGTTGTCAGTTTCTCAAAACAGAGAAACAATTTGTTAACATATGTGAAAAGGATACCTGGCAGTCAGATAGCTTCTTGTGGAAAGAACAGTAGTAGAGAAAGGATAAGCGCAGTGAGAGGGCAGCAGGTGTGAGATGCACCATGGCCCAGTTATATGGAGTTCCCACTCTGGTCTAAACCTGCCATTTACTGAAGAGGAGACATTTCTTTTGTTCTGTGCTTATACTGAGCCTAGCATAGGGGGATTATGGTTCATGGCTGGGTTCTTACATAAATCAGTAATACATATAAATTACAGTAATAACAGAGGTTATAACTTGAGTAAATAACCTAACTTTCATAGTAAAATGGTGTTTGGCATTACTTTTTGAGCTACTTTTTGTTAGACAATTTTTTTAATGGCTGTAAATGCCTTGCCTCCAACAGGGAAGTTGGAGTAAGTTTTGACTGTTTTCTTTCCTCTGGTTTAGTTCTTTTTTTGTCTATGAAACTTCTGCAGTCATCTTGGATTTTTAATCTCTTTTTTTGCCCTTTTTTGTTGGTAGGGAATGGATCCATTCAGAATTTTTATCTGCACAGGGTTCACTGCGTTCCCGAGTTGGTCGTTGCACAGGAATGTTACCTGCTCACGCGGTAGCCACTGCACTGCAGTACTGGTATCACGGCTCTCCTCCTGGGGAGATTGTTTCTGTGGGAGTACTTAGTGAAGGTAAGTCTATTTTTGCTTCTCGTGTTCTCTTGTAGCTTTGCACTACGTATAATAGCTTTCCCCTATCTCTAACATTACTTTTTAATCAATATTTTTAATGTAACAAAAACTTGTAAAACAAATCACGTGAGGCTGAGAGTTTGTTTCATCATAAGAACTTCCAAATCTAAGTAATTTTGCTTTCCAGGGCTAGTGATTTGATACTCACTTTCTAGAAGCATCTCTCAGGTTAATATTGTCTTTTTGCAGATTTTCTCTTAGTCTTTTAGCTTTAATGCTTTTCTGATATATGTGTTTTGCCCAAGAACTCTTTATAGGTCTTAGTGCCTAAGACAGAAAAGCATGTTCTTTTTGCGTAGTTATATGGACCAATAAATGTAATATTTCACAACAGCCATTTAACCCTTATATGAAATAAATCATTTTTCTCCCTTTTAAGATGCACAATTGTACATCTTAAATTTGTACAGTTGTACAAGGGGTAATGGTTTTAAACTGAAGGAGATATATAGATTAAAGAAGTTATTTACCAGGAGGGTGGTGAGACACTGAAACAGGCTACCCAGAGAGGGAGGAGATACCCCAACCCTGGAAACATTCAAGGTCAAGTTGGACTCAGAGAAAGCTGGTATATTTGAAGATGTCCCTGCCCATGGCAGGAGGGTTGGACTAGAGACCTTTAAAGGTCCCTTGCAACCCAGACTAGTCTATGATTCATGTACATCTAACTAAAGTACAAGGTTACTGTAAAAGGGGAACTCTTTTTTGAACTGTAGCCTGAAAAGTGCAGTCTCCATTTGTACTAAGATCTTGCAGTTGCAGACTTTTGCAAGTCTATAGGATTTAATGTTGACACTGGTGAGAGTGTGTTTTGTAAAAAGAAATAACATGTTGGGTCATTTTTTCCCTCTTCTTCAGGTCAGTTTTGCGTTCCTGAAGGAATTATCTTCTCTATGCCAGTGAGCTTCCAGAATGGTAGCTGGGAAGTCATAAAAGAATTAGAAATTGATGGAACGACACAAGAAGTTCTGGGACGCTTAGCCCACGAGCTAATTCAGGTGAGGATTTCTTGTCTCCCCCGTGTGCCCATTCTGCCACCTATGGGCACATTGTGGTACAGCCTTGAGCACCGAGACCTTTACTCTCAATGTTAGATGTACACACTGCCCACATGCACTTGGGCATGATAAAGATCAGGTATTTATAAGCGTCAGGTAGTATTCGTATGTTGAAATTAACAATTCTGTTGCCCAAAAAGGAGATGGTAAAATAAGTTTACCTATGTACGTGGAGAATTTGCACTCCAAAATTCTGCAGGCTTTGTGCAAAACAGAAATAGTACATTCAATTTAATGTTTCTGCATTCTATGCCACTGATGTTGATTTTGCTTCTGTGTATTCAGAGTATTTCCGTGCTAGAAGACACATCTTTTGGCATTTTTATGGCTGTAACTCTGCATGAATGAAGGCCAGATATTACTAGAATTCGGAATTTTCCAGAAAATACAAAATCGATGAGCAGTAATTTCGTCATGAACTTTTTGTCGCTTAGTGAGGCAAAACTAATTTACTTTTAGTATTGAAATATTAAAAGATTGGTTCAAAACTCTACATTCTAGCTTCGGTCAGTTTTGGAATCTTCAGTCATACTAGTAACATGTAAGGATTATTTTTCTTTAACATATTTTAAGTTTGTACTAGAAATTAGAGCAGATTAAAAGAATGGATGATATTAAAACTACCTTTTTTTTTCCCATTTAGGAAAAGCTCGTTGCACTAAAGGAAATAAAAGAAATACATCCATATGGAGAAGGCTAAAACCCCCACATCTTTTCCCAAGTTTTTCTGTGCTGCTTTTCCTACGTAATTTCATTTTCAAGTTGTCTGTCCTCATGCATCAAAATAAGAGCAAATGAATTTAAAAGTGTGTTTTAGTTCTGTTTTTTTCACTTTTCCCCTATTCCCAGGTTCTGAAATCCCTGCACTTTTCCAATGTTATAGCAATTTCTTTCTACTTTTAAGTCATACAGACGTTTTTTCTAGTTAGTTTTCTTTCTCCCTTCCTTCAAATTCTTTCCAGTACTTTTATATCAGCACTTACCATACTATGAGCTGCCCAGAGCCTGTAGCAAGCACATAAGCCTTTTGGTTATCCATGCTTTTTTCTTGGGAAAGAACTACAGACACAATAAAATATTCTTGATAATACAGAGTTTAATTATTTGGCTAATCATGACCTTGTTTAACCCAGACAGGAGATTCTCAATTAGATAACAGTGTCCTTCCCTGTCTACTCCCTATGTATATGGCACTGCTCTTCTGTAGAGCTGCCCTATTCCTCTTGTGGCTGCGTTAAACACTAGGCAGAGGCCTTCCCACTGCTAGCAGCTATCTGCTTAGTTGTGGTCTTGTCTTGTGACATCAGTATCAGGTGTTCAAATGTTCCCAGAGTGCCCTGCTGATCTCTTTGAATGTGTAGGCATTTTAAAAGGCTGGCAAAATTATGTAGTGTTTTTGCCTTTTTTTTTTTACAGAAATGGAAACCTTGCCTACTGGGTCACTTTAGCCAGAGTTGTCTGGAGGAAAAATGCTGGAAATTCCCATACTAAAATAAGACTTTCATTGCTCCAGAGAGCAAACTACAAAAAACGTTTAAACATTGTCATAGCTTTTGCTGTATCTTCTTCATAAAAAAACAGGAAATCTCTAGGCAGAAAAATATTTCAAAATCAGAATGAATATAACATTCTTAATCTGGAGACCAAAATAAAATTCCAACTGATTCTAATGAGTCTAGGATTTCATTTGCATCCAACAGCTTATTTCTTCAGACCAATAAACTGTTGCAAAAACATAGTTTAGTGTTCCTATTATGAAAATATTGAGTAGGATTGTCACACCTAGAGTAGCAATTTTCTAACTCCAGATACTTATTTTGAATGTATTGAAACACAGGACTTGTGTAATAATATATCTTCTTAGGCAAAATTGATTTTTCACACAAAAATATAAGTCCATCTCCTTAGTGACAAGATAATTTTTTGTCCCCATGGGGTTTTTTTATTTATCTCATGAGTTTCAATGGAATACTCATATGTTTTAAGTCAAACATGCAATTAATTAAGTCCTTGTGTAAACAGAATTATTGAGGAACCACTCTCACTTGTATGTCTTTGGGGTCTTAAAAAATGGAAACTGTGTTAATGAAATGTTACTGTACTTGCTGATTTTATCAGTTATGTTTAAAGCAAAATAGAAAGCTTCCTGTTCTTTGAATCAGATACATATAGTTGGAATAAATTCATTATTTCTGTTCAAGTGGAGGTTCAAGTTCTGAACAGGGGTAGACTTCTTATATGAGGAAACCAAGAGGAGTATATGTTATATATAGGAGGAGTTCACATGGAAATTTGAGAGGCAGGTGTAGTAGAAAATCTTGAAGAAAGGGGTTAGGAATCAGTAATTTCATGAGGAAATGGTCTCCACAGAATTAGTTTCTAGTATATGCACAGAAAATTGGCTGAGTTTCTGGGGAGCATCTGGAGGTAGAAGTCTCAGGAGAGCATAGTGGGGTGCTACCAGTAGTCATTATAAACTACCTGGTTTGTTCCATAGCTCCTTCTCCAAGACAGGACAGGAAAAGTTATCTTCTCTAATGTATATTTACATTTGGGGTTTTTTCTATATGGAATATGATTTGCCTGGGGGGATAGCAGTTCAAACAAGCTGCAGTTCAAGCACCAACACTGCACAGCTGCTAATGAGAAACTATATAACTGTTTCTGCAATATATAAACAGGCTTATCAGACTTAGTCACTAGCTGACAAGCTTTTTTTCTCAGAGGCTGGGAGGTGAAAGAAAAAAAATGTTTGGGATGTCTCTTGTATCCTAAACTATTCTAAATGGATTTGCCTAGTGACCTGCAGGGAAATTCATGTCTTCCCTTGTGGAAGCATAATAGAATGGAAAAGTTTCTTTTCCTAGCTTTGCTTGGGAGAGAAAGACAAAAATTAAAATAGTAGGAAAGCTAAAATGTAGTAACGTATTCAAAGTTGGTTACAGTTGTAACACAGCAATTGACTCAGTCATCACTAAGTTTGGGGTTTCTATAAGTAATAAGCCAGTACACATCATCTCACAAATTACCAAGTAATGTTATATATGCAGGATATTCATAGCATTGATGACTCCTACTACCTGGATGTTAGAGTAGATGTTGAAAAATTTATGAAAAAGGGCTTTAAGCTAAATATATGGGTCTTACAAATGTTATATATATTCTTCATAAACCCTTACGCTTGGGTGTTGTGAAGAGTGTGTTAGCTTTCTGGTTGGTCTGAACAATCCTTATTCTAGGACATTACCACTAGGGTTTACTATTTTTCTTCTTCGTGTAGCTGCACCAACTCTTTGTTTCAACACACTGTGCTTTCTGCATTACTGTGCCAGCTTCCACCTTATTTTAAGTCTCTATAGCAACATGCTTCTCAGCAACTGGGAGATGCTTAGTAAAGGCCCCTCAATGTAGAAATATTGCACTCCAACCTTAGAAAAATGCTTTGAAACAAAGATCAAAGAAGTTTTATCTTGAATAATTCAGGATATTTATTACTATTTAATTAGTGTTCTCTGTTTTGACTGCTTAGACAATTACCTGATACTTTGATCTGGGCCTTTGCCAGGCATTTGTTGTGAGCAGCATTAATTTAAAAGCAAAACCTTTAGAACTACATCTTGAAATCAACTTTTAAGTGCTATAAAACTACCGGACTCCTCTGGCAGTGTCGTCTGACTTTTGGGCCTTTAGTAAGTAATAAGAGAAAGGTAAGAGCAGCTACTGTATTTAAGAGAAGACAATAATTTTGGCCTTTGAACAAAACATAGAATGTGTTCACCCTTCACAGGAAACAAAAGTAGCTGTAGGTTATTTTATGCATATTTAAAATGTTGATGATATGTTGCCTGATTTCAAAAGAAAAAAATTCTCTGTGATCAAGTCAGTTGATCTGTTGGGAGATTTCTGCCTTACTTCATGTGGCTTGTCTTTCTCTGTACTGTAACTTAATCATGTAGCATGTTTAAAAGTGCATTTTATTTGCTGAAGTACATATTCTAAGAACCTGTAAGGCAAGTAAAGTAGATATAAGTAATCAAACATTGCTTTTCTTTCACATTACAATAGGTTTCAAGAAAAGGGCTGCTCTTGTTCTGCACATAAGAGTATTCTTATTAATGGGACCAAGATTTATAATTGTAAAAATTTATTTCCTGCACATTTGTACATAATTTTAATTTTCTTGTTTGTTTGTTTTCTGTTTTTTTTATTGTTAAAGGGCACAAGTAGCTGAAATATAACACACTAACTGAAATGGTGTATGAATGAGCAAAGTTAGTTCAGATTTGGTGGCTGCAGATACTGCTTCTACTTTCATATTATGTTCGTTATAAGGTAGATGTGCTAATACTGAAGTAGATTCTGTTCATTTCACCCAGGCATTTCTAACTGCAGTCAAGATCTGGACTGTCCACAGAGTTTTGTATATAAAAATGTAGACTGTACATACATTAATAATGCCTTTTGTAAGGTTTTGGAGGGAGGATTCATAGGTATGATGTTGTATAATGGTGGGCAGTTTGGTAAAACACATAAACACGTGCTTAACCAAGACCATAAATACCCTAATAGAAGGGTATAGGGTCTTTCCATATGGGTCCTTTAAATGTTGGACTCTGCACTGTACTGAATAGAGATCTTGTCATTTTACAGTATCAGGTGCTCATAGATTATGCATGCTGCATAATTCAGTAAGGATCTGTTCTTATTTGAGTAAGCAAATTCTAATGAGTTCTGTATATTTTTACATTCGTTCCATCCTCTTTCTTTATTTTATGTACCCTTGGTGCAGAGAAAAACAGGAGGAAAACATGAGGCAAGCTGTGTGTTTGTAAGTTTACCTTCTAGGTTTCTTACAAAACATGTAGCTTTCAATAAACACTTATCTTTAATTCATTGTTTAGAATCTTCTGATTTCATTGATTTGCCTACATTGACTTTTCTGTCAGGCTATGCAGAGGCACCTACTACTGCATGTATTTTAGGAGTAATTGTATCATATTTGCATATATGTTGCGTATGTATTTGCATATCCATATGTATATGTACAAAGTTACATGCCTATGTAAATGTTGGGCAGAGCTGTAGTCTTGCAGAACCCAGTGTGGAGTCCGAGATCTAAATCTTAGTAAGGAAGAAAATAGAAGAACAGTGGAAAAGAAACATAGTGGTATTTCTTTCAAAGAAAGACTTAAGTAAAAACTGTGGTAGTGTAGTCTTTAATGAAAAGTTATGAAAGCAAATCTGTATCACATTATTTTAAGTATTTATAGATTACTTAGAGACTGAAACACAAAGTAGCAGCTTTCACCAACTAAAATGGTGAGAAGCATATTTATGGTAGACTGAACAATTACAGATCATTGAATATTTATGCTTCATAATTGGCCAGTATTCTGTCATGTTTATGTCAAATGATCAATGATTCTCACTGGAGAAATGTAGTAAGTGAACATTTGTTTAAGTTAGGGTTTAACACCAAAGGTATTATTTAAGTTTTAAATATTTTCCAAGTATTTAATTTTTATTTATTCTGGCAAAATTTCCCTTTTTTCTCCACAATAAGCCGTATATGTGGCCCTTGGAATCTTGTAAAACTTAGATCCATTATACCTAATGTTTTGCAACTGATATTAACTGATATTAACTAATATTAACTGATAGTTACTATAATTAATTCATATTTTTATGTTTGAAAATATAATGTAGTTTAGAGCATTAGTGAAATAAATCCTGAGGGGAGACATTCAGTTTCCATTATTATCAGGGACATAATTACTTTTGCTTTCAGAGTTGTTTAAAAAAGGAGGTTCATGGTTATCCTTCCTTTTTCCCTTCCAAGTCAGCTCAATAAGAAATAATGTCACCTCAGACAAAAACGTAAGTTCTGTTTGAAAATTTTAGGAAATACCTGTGAGCAATTGCAATCAATGAATCTTGGGAAGAGGCTGGTTTACAGTTATACCCTCTGTGACCTGAAATTGTACACTATGGACTGTGTGGTAATCCTGCATGTAAACACTGGACTCTTACAGTGAAAGGTCCCATTTCCTGTACTTGAAACTGTTTTGAGGATCAGTTTTGCCCTGCTAGAGTTTTGCAATTACTTGAGTTACTCCTACTTTATGCTGAGCACAGAGTGTGCAATTTCCTGGCGTTTCTCTGCACGTGGCACCAGAACTGCTACGGTGTCTTATGTATTCTGTTTAATTTAATTTCTGAAATGCAACCAGTAAATTGTTCAGATTAAAAGGTTTTATTTGAATGGTTCGATATGTCTCTGTCTGGAATATGTGCTTTTACACTTTTTTTGTTTTGTTATAGAATGCCTAATGCCATCTGTTCATTTCAAATGGATCCAGACTTGCAGGGTGAGGATTTTTCTTATTTTTTCCCAGCTTTTCTCAAGAGGCATTTCTGTGTCTTTTTGAACAGAAACTACTGAATTGTAATGAAGTCATGCCACTTTAAGAATTTCTGTCCTGTAGCACATGAATGACAAATTACACAGCTGTTAAGTCATACCTTTATTGTTGGATCTGCCTTGGCACCTTCCTTGCCATTATCACATTGGCTCATGGCACACTGGGATCATCTTCCCTAATTTATAATATATATGCTATGTTTTTTCCCATATTCTCAAACAGGCATGAAGGATGGCCATACATGCCCTCTCTGAGTGCAAAATCTCATCAAATGCTTCATCTGCTACAGAACAAGTAGCACAAAATGCAGAACTAGCAGGTAACCAGCTGAAGATGTCAGGGAACAACACACTCTTTGATATGTGCAGGAGCTCCTTTCTCAGCTTCTCAACTAAGGGCATTTATGCTTCTTGAGGTGAAATTTGACCCGCTGCAGAATGATTACATGCTGATTTTCTGTCCAAAGGGGAAACCCCGTTCCTATGAGATATTAAAGAGTTTAATGCCCCTAAATAGCCTCTCATAAAGAATAATCCTAAAATGCTTTATATTTTACTTGAGCTTTTTTTCTTTGCTATTTTACTTGTGTGCTCTCGCAAGTTAATTCTGGAACTGTGTTTGACAGGCACAGAATGCCTGACTTTGAGGCCACATTTTGTCTGTAAGGATGGACTTGAATTTAGTAGCAGATGGCTACTAAAACAGATTCCCTTCACTTAGAAAGTCATCTTGCACATGGAAGGTGTTTGAATTGGATGATGTGTATGTTTCTAGCATTTGTATTTGAAAATAAGCATTTGGAATTTAATCCACAGCCTAGTGAAAACTGTGGGAGCCTTTCTGATACTTTCAAAAGGGCTTTGGATCAGTTTACTGGAGAAAGGGAACTGATGATGCGTGGAAGTCAAAACTCATTTTTCACATTGTGTGACATGCTACACTACATCTCCAAATAATATCACAAAACATAGTATGACAAGAGCAGGACTAAACAGATGGTATAGCAGTTATTGGCTTCTTTCTATAGCTTAGGCAGCATCTGGGAACCACCAGAGCCCATAATTTGCTGACTATTAATATTTATCTGGTGTATTTGTGGGAAAGCGGAGCACACAGATTGGCTTGTTTCCAAACAGAACAGGTAAAGTGTTTTGTGAGTTATTTCTACTCAGTTACGCATATTTGTTGCTTATCTTTAACCTTAATCAACTGTGTATAACTCTTTCTCTCTGAAGTACAGGAAAAAAGAGTCTCTGATGACAGGAGGATAACTGATAAACCCCATTCTAGTTTCTAAAGTTTAGTGAACAAGCCTTTTTTTTTTTGGTCTTGAAATTCTAGGTATGTATGTAAAGTATCAGGTATAGGTCATGTTCAGCAGACCTTACTTTCCACTCAGGAAAACATCTTATAGTGATATGAAAGAAATGAGCTGAAATCATGTAGGGGTATGGGATTTAGTCAAGCAGCTTGAGTGGAATTGCTAAGCAGAAATGTCAAAAGCCAGTTGCTCTGATAAATTGCTTATCTTCTTCTGCAAGAGTCACAGATACTTGACAGAAGATTTGTTTAATGCTTGAAACAGTATACATCCAAAACAATAACCCTGCTGTGCAAACTGACAAACTGTTCCTTGTCGAAGAGCATCCCTGATCAAGAAACCTGTTTGATTGAAGAAATATTATTTCATTATGATCTTGGCTAAAAGTATGGGCAGTTCATAACCCTTTTCCTGATCCATGAATAAACTCAATGCCCAAAGATGCAGGTGTGCTCTCTATGGTAAATTCTATTTTTACAGCCGTGTCACTGGTTACGAGATCATTTTTCCCACCGTTATTTGAAAAAAAAAAAGAATTTTTTTTTCAAAATTTTCCTTCAGAGTTTTGACCAACTCCAAACTCCAAATTTTGTTGTTTTGATTTTTAGTTAGTTTTAAATGAACTGCTCTATTGTAATGTGTGTTTGTTTTCTTTCACAGAGGCTTTCAATGATGTTCAGAGCTCCGTCTACAGAACAGCCTTAAAACTACGCTCAGTACAAAGTCTGTGCCAGTGTTAGTAGCCAAAGAGAATCCTCTGCTTTTACAGGGAGAAGAATCTCTAAAAAATTTGCATTGCTGTCACCATGAGTTATTATGCTACTTTGCTCTCTCATTTTCCACATGGGAATCTCAGAATGCATTATGAACACTTAAGATCTAGATAATGCTTCATACACAATTGATTTTTTTTTTCCTTTTGAATGTCAGTGGAAATACATTAGTAAAATTCTAAACTTATGGGAGAATCAAATTGTTATCACAGTCTGCAACACTGCTATGTAGACATCACTGGCAATTATTAATCTTTGTGCATTATTATGCTTGTGAAAAATCAAATTCTCATTTTTCTTAGTAGCTGATTTGTTGGAAATAATCATGGATCATTGAAAATGCATTGACTGGCATCATTATTGATACTATAAGTATTAATGAGAGCAAAATAAAGTACAATAGACCAGAAAAACCCTGGCTAGAATTCATTCTCCCTGTCTTTGAAGTGAGAGAGAATTCTATGCAAGCAACGAATTGTGGAACAAAGTCCTGCTCACCTAGATCACTTTGAAATTACTGGATGTAAATGCCATATTGAGCTAAATTTTATGGAAATCCTTGAATTTTCCATCTGAAACAAACTGTTCCTGAAAAGGCACAATGTTGCAAGTGAGGTCTTGAGGGTAACACAGAACAGATGACTAGTTTGTTGGCCTTGGCCATAGTTTTTTTTCATTTGGGCACAACCACAGGTACTGGTTTTCATTACCTCTGTTGCCTAGTCCTTCATGTCTCCTCTAGGCAGTCAGTTGCTCTACTCCTCCTTGAACCCTGGTGACCAGAAGTGCACATGGGTTTCCAGATTGAGTTTCACTCACACTGCAATTTTCCCATCTGTGCTGGAAAGACCACTGGTGACATATTCTAGATTCTCTGCTGCTTCAGCAATCCACAGACTTTCAGTCTACTACAATTTTTCACTTCTGAAGTTAATGCCAATTGATCATGCCTCTGTGGTACTGAATGTGGCCTATAAGAAGCCATAGCTTTCTTCCTACGGGATGTTAGTTATTCCATAGGACATTTATAATACAGCCTTCTTACCCCTTTTTTGGCCATAGCACCCCTCTTCTCTTTGTATTTGTGCATGAGAAGAAAGCTTACATCAAAGCATGAATTGTTTTCACAGGTGAGCTTTTTCCTGCAATACTGAGTGGTGTGTCGTTTTATACTATCTATATATAGAAAAAAACTTGCATCTGTAATTTGGATGGAGTTGAGCATACTATTTTCCTCTATAATTTGGATGCAATTAATCATGCTGTTTTCTCCCCTTCCTATCTATCCCAAAATCCCATTCAGGGAATTTTAGTTGAGCTGTTCTTTCTTTGTAGCCTCACAAGTTTTGCTAGATCCATAAACCCAGCAAGACCTTTCTCAGATTACTTCTATGTTGCATACTGTTTTAGACTTCATTTTACAAACTTGTCCTAGCTAGGCTTTTCTAATACAAAATTGTCGCTCTTCCATTCATGAAAAGGCAGGGATTCTCATTCATTTCTTCCTTAATTTTCCCACAGTGGATTTGATTGACGTTTCTCTGATTCAGCACATCCTATCAAGTGAACGGAGCCAGAGAGGAGAGCAGATTTCTCTGAATATGCAGCAAATCTCTAGAATGTTGACAGAACTGTTCCGAAGGGCAAGATTAGAAAAACCAGGCCAGGTAGATCTGAGAGCCGCTGAATTCACGTTGAGTCTGCTCGTTGCCATGTATGACAGGTGAGAAGAAGAATAAATGTAAATCCATCGTGAAGTATCATAGAATCATAGAATGTTTTTTTGGAAGAGACCTTAAAGACCATGTAGTTCCCACCCCAAGTATTGTTTCTTCCACTCTTGCACCGTTTCTGTATAAAACTCTCACTTTTGATTTTTTTTCTTGGTATACAAACTAGGAGTAGTTCAGCTGTCAGAATATGAGGCAAAAGCTGTATCAGAGAAACGGTGGTCAAATGTTTCCAAAACTATCTGGAAGTCCAGTCTTCTGCCAGTCCCTGCCTGCTTTTTCTCTGAACAGCTTTACAGAGTAGCTCTTCTTCTGACTGCCAAGATATTTTGATACACTTCTGCAAAGGAATCCCTATTTGCCTCTGAGGGGCAGCACCCATGCAGAGGTCAAGAATTTTCCAGTCACTTTTCTTCATTCATTTTTCTCCAGCTTAAAAACTTCATCAAATAATTATGAAAAAAAATTGATGTCTCATAACTAAGCTGATCAGCTCCTGCGAAGAGCAGTTTCTGGAGGTAATAAGGAGGCAGTTCACAGAGTGTATTTTTCTCATGTATTGTTTGTGAATAATGAATTAATTAACTAAAGGCAGGATTGGTTTGTGATTGTATCAGATTTAAAAGGCTAAATTCATTGTACAATTTATTTACCATGAGTGAAATTTATTCCCTTATATATTGGAGCAAAGTTTTTTACTCAAATTGAGTGAGATGTAAGTGGTCTCAGGACTTTTTCTTGAGTCAGTGTTCATTAATAATATGATCACTACTCCTTAAGGTCCCATATTGTTAATGTTTATTTACTTAGAAAAATCAATGAAGGCTAAGAATAAACTGGTGTATTAAGAAAAAAAGCTAGAAATATCAAGAGTATTTTGTAATTTGTGTGCACTGTAGGGAAATAATTTAGAAGAATCTCCTTAACAGGACTATCTTGGTCTTTTATTCTGTTTTTTTAAAACTGTGTAATTTTCTTTTTGCTGCTTTTTTTTAAATTTTCACAAATTTCTTTACATGTATATAGGATAGAAAAAGCTTCTTATAATTTTCTTCTAATCAAGTTTTCTCTGAGTGCTATTCTCCGTAGTAACACTGGAAAGTATTTCATAGGAGGAGCACATACTTTGAAGAGTATGTTGCAGCTTTATGCACTGTGGATTTATCTAAAGACTCTTGGAAAAAATGTTATGTAATGATATTCTGAAGTGCAATACAGCTTTACAAAAGTGGTATCTTAAATATAGAATTCCAGGATTTCCTGATTTGCGCTTTCCAATTCATGTCTGCTTAGTCTTCACAAAAAAATAATTGTTTTGTTCATTAGATGCCTATGTCAAAAACTTGGGTTCTAAATTAATATAGGCTATTTGTTATCTAACGGTCAAAACTGAAGTCCTGGTCCTGCCTATATCCTTTTGTTTAATTTGAGTTGCAGTGAAATTAAATGGAATCAGCCCAAGAAAAGCTCAGTGCAGATTTGGGGCCATAGTGAAGCTACCTGATGTTATAATGCGAAAACCAGGTTGTATCCTGTATTCTCTTCCATATTTGGGAAGGCTTTCCACAAATAAAGAGCAGATTTTTTTTTTTTTAGGACATGTATTGTAAAAGTAAAGTTATATTTTACTTGGAACGTGAGGTCTTTGAAGGAGATGTTGTGGTTTTGTTTATGATTGCGTGGCATCTTGGAACAGTTAACTCTGATGTTATGTTCAGTGGCAAAGGGTTCTAGACATAAATTATCACTGAAATGTTACATCAGTTATATTTATACATATAAAAGGGTATGAGTTTTGAAGTTGTCTCCTAACATAGCAATATTTCATTCTTTAGAAGTTTCGGTTTTTACATTCTTGGTGAATGTATTGTGACTTATTTTATTTTCTTAGATCTGGAACAGGGTATGTCAAAATTAGATCTGCTGCAGCTGCCCTAATTGCCCTTTCAGGAGACACTCTACTGGCTAAATACAGAGGTGGGAAATATATGATTTTTATACACTGCCTGAAATACTGAACATCAAGAAAAATCTCCATTGTAACTTTTTACTTTAGAAGAGAATACAGTTCTGCCATGCAAAAAGTAAATTATGTTGACTGCTTAGTTATAGAGAAAGACTGATGCAGAATAATACTTTTCAATTAATGTCTGTAGCCATCTTTGCATAGTCTCAGAACAGATCATAGTAAAGTTTAAAATAAGTAGAGCTTAAAAATGAAGGCCACATTCTATTTGCCTCGCAGAAAAGAACAGAAAACTAGTTTTAAATTTCATTGGATTAGAAGGCCATTTTTTATATTTGATCCAGCAAGCTTTTAGACATTAGACAAAAATGCTTAAAGAACTAAGTATAACAGATAAAGGTGGCCCAGTGTAATGTGCAGCACAAAGATTTCTGCCTGAATTAAATGGCTAAAATGGAGAACAAATGGAGCACCAGTGAAATATTCATCTCATACTCTCCCACTGCCTACTGCGTATTTCTGTCCAGATTACAATTTGCAATTAACAATTCACAATTTAAATAGGGCACTTCCTGTATAAACATATTTAAATATTTTTCTTAATGTCACAAGAATGAGCTCATTGCTTCCTTCCTCCTTACCTGTCTTAAATGCCAGCAATAAGGAATTGCCGTAAATTCCCTACTTGCTTTCTTTCCCCTTGTTTTCAGCTTTCTTCCAGTTTTACGCTGTCCCTGATGGGAAGGTGGCCTTGATTACCCGTAGTGCCCTGAGAAGCCTACTAACAGACTTAAATCAGGTAATGCCACTGCAATGCTGCTACACAACGGATTTTGTAAGAGAAAAAAAATACCTGATTGATACATTTTGTGTTTGATTACCTTATGAGACTGAAGTCAATAGGATACTCTGTGGTCATAGGGAACTACCATGCAAAATAGGTAATAGAATCAAATTCTGTCCCTTTTCTCCGTCAGAGTCACTGCTTGGATCGGTGAATGCCTCTGCAGTCATGTTGCCTGAGCTTACACATCCTGGGAACAGCTGCATGCAACTGTTTCTAAGGCAACTCCAAACTTCAGATGTCTGTACTCACTAGAATAGTTTGCAGTTGCAGGAAGATACCTTAGCATACAGGTATTTACAGCTGAACTGGTGCTGAAAACGGGATCTGAAAATGACTCCTGAGGTTCAAACCCAGTGTCCTTCGGTATTATAGTGTGGCAACATAGTATGTTGATCCATATCAGTAAGTGAGTTGGAAGCAAATCATTCTGAGGCATGTTGAGCTATGAAACTGCATACTGATGCTATGGATATGAACAGGCTTTCTTCAGATCAGTATGTAAAATGGCATTTCTATAGATTCTTCACCATCTGTGTGCTATCACCATCGCAGCAGAGCATGATGGGAACATCTGTTTTTTATTGAGGTATTTCTGAGCCTTTCTTCTTAATGCAGATCCCAGCCATTGTGGGAGAAAGCTGCACTCTGTCTTGTGTGGAAATTGCGACTCATGACTGTTTCCATGGGGTGAGTGAAATTCTGATGTCCTGGGAAATTATTTTGAATGTTGCTGATTGATTAAAACTACAAGTGTGTCACCACATAACATCCCCAAGTACCTGCTGTTAAGGGGCAGGGCTGACCAACAGTCTCACAGTAAAGGAGGATTTGCATCTATAGAAAAGATGTTCAGTAAGATACTGCTGAAGACTCTTACATTTATTCCCAGACCTTTAGAACCCAGTAACATTTCATATGAATGGAAAATCTGTGCTAGCAAGGTCCAATGTCAAAGATTTTATTAGGAATTGTAGATGAAACACCCGTTCTTTTCAAATGAATGTATGAACTTGAGACATGTCTTTTTTCTAGGTTCTGAATTCAGCTATTGTTGAAGAAAAATTCCTGTCTTGGCTGAGATCGGAGCCTGCTGTTCTCCTGTGGCTCCCTACATGTTACAGATTATCAGCCACGGAAATGGTTTTTCACCAAGCTAGATGTAGAGTCTGCAAAGTTTTCCCCATTACTGGCCTCAGGTGCATCAGTTCTTACTATTGTTTGCATACCTTACAGGCTATAACTGATGTATTAAGCAACAAACTTTGGATGTAATCTAATGTAGTCAGTAAAAGAGGGAGAGAACCATCGCAGGCTAGTGCTCAAGCCTGCATCCTGCTTCTCTTTAGCTCACTAGCACAGACATGATTATGAAGACTTGCTGAAGGTAAACTGGCAATTCAGAAGTAAAGCCAATTAAACCTGAGTTTCTAATTTCTTAGTTCTTTGTCCCATAGCCAGTTGTATTAACTGGCTAGTTAGGTTATCCATCTTAACATCTTGTTCATCTAAGTAATGGTATAAAATGGCATAGTGGTATGAAAAGAACGCTATCCATTACCTCTGACCAGAATGCTCAGAAAATCAATTTACTGTTACTCTTTTCTCACTAGTAGTAAGCTTGCAAGTTTAGTTTCTTGCATTTTTAGTTTTTTGCTTGCAAATCCTACATCAATCATGTATTATGTGTCACTCAAAATTACAGTTCCATGAGAGCAGCAAATAGATGTAAGCTGGTGCATAAGAAGCATATGAAGTTGAAACTGCATTCTCAAAAATGATGCTAAACAGCTGTTTCTTTCATGAACTGCATTTCAATGCAGTGAGTAAATAATACTAAAATCACTAGTGGGTTTGGAGAATAGTCCATTATCATTTGGACAAAATAACTTACATTCAGAGAATGTTGAGGAAAGTCATAATTCTAACAAAGCTGTTTCTCTGCATTTCAGAGCCCAGGGATCTGTATTTTCAGTAGTTAAGCTCACTTACACCAAGTCCTTACTTGTGGAGAAGTTATTGAATCCCTTTGTTTTCCCTCGCAGGTATCGCTGTTTGAAGTGCCTCAATTTTGACCTTTGCCAAGCGTGTTTTTTCACTGGCCGTCTCTGCAAACCACATAAGAGGTCACATCCTGTTGTGGAACACTGTGTGCAGGTAGAGTCCCATTGTACTGATTAATTTCCCTGTTCAGGTTCTTCCTGTAGGCAAGTAGGCAGTAGATTCTTGAACTACATTCATTATAAAATTATATGTGGATTAGCCATAATGGCCATGACATATTAGCATTATTAATCTGGGCACAGTGTTACAGGAAAAGGAAAAAAGGTGGCTTCTAACTTTGGAATGAGTGTTTTGTTCTGAAATAACTGAATAAAGCGATGAAATATCCTAGTGCAAGTCCTCTTTTCAAGGACTTTAATGGCAAGTTTGCTGTTTACAGATAATCCTTAAACCTGTGTAAAGTCCCGTCAGTGTATCCCAGTGCTCCTTCATCCCAATCCCAATGCAGACTCATGCAAAAATTAATTCATCCTAAAGTTGTACAAACTCCTGCATGAAATGTTTTTTCTCCCAGAGTTTTCCCACTTTATTGTAAACCCTTCTGATTCATTTGTCTCTGTCAGTTAGGGATGTGGCACAAAGAGGCAGCGTGTGCCCAACCAAGCTCACCTACTTGGACTCCATTACAGGGGCAACTTGTGCTTTCATCACACTAGTGGTGAAGTACAGCACTGGGAATTTGTGTTTGGAAGACCAGTTTCTCCTTTGAGCAGGAGATTCCAGATCGTGCACACAGCAGCAGACAGGTGTTTGTTTTGTGGGGGTTTTTTTGTGGATTTATATAACAGTATCCTTCTGTTCCAGTAAATGAACTGAAAAGCACTTAAGAAAGTTTCCCTAGAAAGCTTAACTTCATGGTTAACTTCCCAACGCCCTGCAGTTAAAGTGAAAGATACCTGAGTAACCAGTGTCTGCACTAAAACTAAAGAATGTTAGAGTGCTCTTGTAGTCACCCTTTGTCCGGGGAAATGTTACACTGTTGAACACTAACACTAACACAGTGCTAACACTGTGAGAAACTGTATCTGGATGCTCAATATCTGCATTAAAAAAGTTCATTCTTCCAAATATTCTTCCTTATTCTCCATCTGTGATAAAGTAGGAGAACCAAATGGCTACTGATCTCCTCATGTGGAGAGTTCTAGTAGAGACATTAAAATTGGTGTGAATGGGAGTGTGGATGTCAAAGCACCAGAAGGAAGGGCAAGAGGAATATAACAAGGCAGGAGGTGATGCAGCCTAGATAAGCTGGTAACCAAGATCACAGAACTTCCACACACAGCTTCTCAGGACAATCAAATCAGGAAAACATAAGGTAGCCTGAAACAAAAGACAAAGTGCCATCTGAAGATGTCATCACAAGAGATGACGATGTAAAGTTAAAGAACAAGACCTCTAAGACACCCAAATAAGGAGGCAAAAGATCACAATTACTGCCAGCTCCTAAAGGAGCTAAAGGTGCATCCAAAAAACAGCCCATGATCACACTAAGACCATGGAGGCTTAAGGAGAACTAGTATCTCTTGTCCTCCCTGTTACTGCAAGTCATTATGGTCATATCATGTGTATACATACACCTTGGTGTGTGAATGCTGGAAAGACTACTTGGACACATGTATTTAGTGCTTGTGAGTGAATATGAGTGAGTGAAATCAGTTTTGTTGTACAATGAAGTCCCTTTCCTCACCTATACTGTCTGACAATGAGCTTTCCAACATTGTTTCTGCAGTATTGCAACTAGATCACTGAACTTGGGTTTACTTTATGAAGCCCTAATCCTACATTAACCCTGTCAATATTACTTTATAGGCCAAATATTACAATACAGGCCAAAGTCTATACCAAAATTAAAAGATAAGCTACTCACTATGATAGGTACCACTTTTATATACTTTGTGTGGGACATAAAAGAATCAGTAGTAAGCTGCTGTCCCCATCCCTTCCACTTTTAGCAGATGCTGGCCTTGTCTGGGTAAGTTTTCACTTTGTCTTTATCAGGGAGTGAACTGCTGCGTGGGCATTTGAAATGACGGCAGTTTTTCCTTTCTGTGCTGACACCTTGTGGTGATGTTACTACAACGTTGAGAAACACTGGAAGGCATGTGGTGTGTTTTCTTTGTGTTTTCCTTCAGTCTGTCAGGGTTCACCCCATGTTTTGCAGCAGTCACTTCCTGGGGCAGAATTGGTTTGTGTCCTCCTAAAATACAGCTGTTGTACCTGACTGAGCCAGACACTGTTGTGACAAATGGATGTGTATTTTACTATATGCTACGAGAGGAGGACATGAGTTGTGGAAGACTACATCTGTGAATGCTTCATACAAATATAAAAGTACTTCTTCCCATTGATCAAGAGAGAACTTAGATACTAGTTGGGCAGAATTATTGTTGTGTCTGTGAGCTTAGTCATTGTAACTGCCAAAATCCTGTATTAGGGATTTCCAGGCTGCCTCAATTTGGCCCAGGCAAAGTGATTTGTTTACTTAAAGAATTGGAACTGCTCTTGCCTGTGGTCCTGCATCATCATCCAGCTCAGCTCCCCTTCTAGGACTCAGATAGCAGCCACAAACTTCTTCAATTGTTGAGCAGGTTGACCTTTGTTGTCTTATGTCTTGCCTTTGCCTTGGGCTGTGTCTACTTCTGTGCAACACCTGCTTGAAAATTCACTCCCTTCTTTGTTATTGCTCGTTCCGATAGATGTCAGCAAAGGCCAGTGCAAAGCACTTTCTCCGCACCATCAGGAACAACCTGTTTCAAGAGCGCTGCAGAAGAAAGGAGGCTCAGAGAAGAAGGACTCTGGAGACAGTGGAGGAGAGGCACTTCCCTACTCACAAAAAGACTTTGTGAGTTTCATTTTCAGATGAGTTTAGAATCTCTGAATGTCAGAATGTGGAATATTGCTTGATTATGCCCTTTGAATAAATGATTTTGTTATGACAGATACCATGTCATAATTTTTCTATTAAAAAGGGAAAAAATAACTGGGAAGTTGCTGCACATTGTTCTATAGCTTAACCATAATTACCATGCTGATGACCTAATGACCAGTTGTCTTATAAAATATAACATGCTCGTGTCCTCCTTCCCTCCTTCCTTATGTTGTCTCTCTTGCTCTGTGCCATGTCTTACGCTCAGTCTAGGGTCAAGCATTGCAAATATTTAGCACCTGTCACAACTGCATGGGTTTTTAAGCAACTCCTCTGTGAAAAATTCATTGGAAATTAACTGTAATACTTTCCACGTGTGACCCACAGTGCATTCAGTGACAGTCATTCTACTCAAGTCCCACTGAATTGCAGGCCTGTGGGATTACTCACAGTAGTGAGCTGATCTCACCATTCCAGTTCTTTCAGACCAGTTGTTTGGTGTGCTTTGGTTAATATTTAAATTCATTACTGTATTTCCACTGATCACAGTGGTTAATAATGAGCATTGGAGGTTGTGTTGTAGTTTTTCCCAATAGTTTCTCCTTCCTTGCTATGAGATTTTTGTTGATATTTAGGTGTAGAAACTGAAGGGAATGATTAAAAGAGATAAGCATATAAAGTACAACCGTGCAAAGGGTGAGATTCCTTTCTAGTTGTATAAAGGCCTAGCAACTCTCTTGCATCTCACATATGTTCTCCAAATGAGGCTTCAGTGAGACTGAAATAGGGAAAAAATGGTCAGTCCTCTCTAAAAGAATTAATTTCCTCCTTGTGCAAAGGAGGACAAAAATCTGTTTATAAAACTGGATTTTGCTACTCTGGTAGGTTTGCAATTAGAAAACAATTTTTTATATGCTATAAGAGCAATGGATGATAGTTACAGTAATTCTCATAGAGAATATTATTTCAGTGTTTGTTTTTTAGAATGTGGTGAAATACAAAACATTTTTCGTTGCTAATATTTCCTCTCTTGTATTTAGCAACAAAACAATATGTCATCATTTTGAATGTCATTTAATTTTTCTGTGAGCAGACAAGATTTATCTATAATTCTGTGGGGTTTTGCTCTACCTACTGCTTGGGTAGCAATGGGACAAAGAATAATTTAGGGCTGCTGTTACAGGTGTCGCTATGGGACTGATAAATATCTGGCCTTTTCCAGACATAGAATGGACGGAGCAGCAGGATACTTTGCTATATTTTTGTAGTTGAATTTCCCAATATATTTAGCTCTTGGTGAAAGGAAGCATAGAAGAGAAGCAGCAAATTGCACTGAAACTAAATGAGTGGAAAGAAGAACCTGTTGTTGAGATTCTGTTGGGAGAGTGGAATTCGTTTTTAGGAATTTCCTTCTTTCAGCCAAAATGTGCCAGCAGGCATGGCTAAACCATACTTCTTGCTTAGTCAATAGCATAACTGTCTGTCTACTCACAGTGCATTAGTTTTATTTTGTTCTTTCTCGATACCAAAACCATGTGAGTCTTGATCCTTTACCTACTCATTATTTCTCTCTTGGCACACAGTCCTCCTGCAGAACTCAGTGCTTCACCACTCCCTGGCCCTGAAAACCTGTCTTTCCCAGGGGACAGTTGTGTCCCAGAGTCACCCGAGTTCATAGCTGAAAACAGGACTGTAATGCAGAAGAGTGAGAATAACAGAAAGACCAGAAAGACACTAGAGCAAGGCGAGACAATAGCTCAGGTGAGCAAAACATGAAGCAGTAATAGTGCTACAGCTGTGAAGAAGACCTACCAAGTTAACTATCTAATTACTAATGAAAATGTATTGCACATCTTCAGCTTTCTGTTAATTCCTCACTTATGGAAAAAAAATGTGGAATATGAAAACTCAGTGAAGCTTGAATTTGATGTCTTCCCAAGATTAGTGACTAGTCTCCTTGACTTCCATAACCTTCAGAAGCACCTGTAAGAATATTTGCTTTGGGTTTTGCTGAGTTGTCTTAGAGTAGCACGCTAAAGACTAGCTAAGACTGGAGTCTTCTCTCTATTTTAACAGGTAAAAAATGCCATCATATCCTCCTACTGCTGCCTTAATTCTTTTTAGGTTCAGGCCATTTTTGTTACCATGGCAATAGCAAGAGGACAGAATGATCCCCTCTTAAGGATAAACCCAGAGTGGTGTCCACTCCAACTAAAATAGCTAATGTACAAAAGGTCTCCACTAATCTATTTCCAGCTTCCCTGCATAGAAACAATACTAGAGGAGTGGATAGGATAGTGTAGCTAAAAATAAGTATATAGCAGTTTTTTGTTTCTATATTTATTTGAAAGATTGGCAGCTCTGCATATACTCAGAATATAGGGAACACTGAGTTGTGTTCAAACCAGTTTGTGTCATCCGCTCATCTTGTTCTTCCCAGGAGCCAAGGGGTGCAGTAACTGAAAACTAGCCTCTTTGTGTCAGGTCACTCCTTTGGCTGCTACTCCTGTGCTGCCCTTTGAAAGAGATGTCATTTAGGACTCTGCTGCCCCACTCAAGGTATAGTGCCAGCCAGCATATATCTGCAGGAGAAGTTGTGGGCAGACTTAAAGTGCTTGAACATATAATTTTGACGGCTGGCATTTGTCATTTTAGGAGACAGCAAGATAGGACTTGCATCCTTGTACTGGGATTCTGTCATGCATTGCTCATTTGTTCATTTTGAATCTGGGCTGAGAATTCTTTTTGAGCAGTTTTATACTGATTTCCAAGATCTTATAGTGCTTATTTCCACTTTGCTTCAGAAGATGTGGACAGTAGGTCCAATGATCGCTTTTAACAGAATTGACGAGTATGGAGGTCCTGGGGACCCAGCTCTTAGTCTCATAATTTCCTGGCAGCCCTGATTCCAGCCCAACTTATATCATGCCCCAAAAGCAGATGGAAAGCATTTGTGTCCTTGACTTCTGGGTTACTGTTCCCTGCATGGCCCAGAGACTGCTACTTCCATGCAAAGACCAGGAGTTTTTCTTCTCTCTTCTACATCCAGTCTCTCTCTTCGTCTCCTTGTCCCAAAGCAGTTGTGGGACTTGGGAGAGACTGTTCCCAAATCAGAATATTCCATTTTGCAGAAATTCTAGGGAATATGTGTTTTGTTCTAATTTAAAACAAATTCTCATACACTTAGAATTTGTCATAGAACAAAGAACTTGCTCTATAGAATGAATTTTCCAGTCTCCTCTAATAGCCATTAGAAATACTTTAATGCATCAGTTGATTGTAATAAGTTAGATTTAAAAAGCTAACTAGTAAATCTATAAAACAGACCAAATCCAAAATTTGTCATGCCCTCTTATAGTAAAATTTGCATATAAAAAGGAGTGTTATTGCTGATAAGGTTATGACCAGATACTTCTTTGTGTTCTAGGCAATAGCCTCTTTTGAAGCAGATGTGTTAAAAATGCACAAATCTATCACAAGCGTTCACAGTGACAGCAGGTATGTAAATGCAGTGGTACACTGACAGAAGACTGGTGGGCAGGGCTCAGTGAAGGGCTAGAAGACAGGTTATTTTTCTATACCTTGGAGATTTTGAGATTAAATAAAGATCCTATTAAATGAGGATGAATGATAAAAACTCAGCAACAAAAATTGTAAATGGGGATCACTGGAAAAACAATGTCTGGAAAAGCAAAACATTTTTGTTTGCTTTCATCAGCATTTCTGCAATTGCTAGTTTATATTTCTAAAGGTAATTTTTAAGGGAAAAGATGTTCATTCACATAAAAATACCAGAATACCATACTTTTTCAAGTTTTTCTCTGAATAAGGCTTAATCAAAACAAATTTCATGATTTGCATGAAGTTTTTAAATCAAAGTACATTGTCTTTCTAAAAAATGTGCTGTACATCAAATAGAGATTAATAGGCTTAATACAATAACTATTGGTATAAAATCCATGACATATTATCAGAGAAGTTCCTTCTGATATTCAAACCTTTGACAGGAAAAAATATTAATTCCTAAACTACAGATTTCCTGAGAGGTTTATTTGTTTGCATGGCAGGAGGGGAAGTTGCTGTATGGGCAATAATGCTAACCTTTTTCTTGCATTTTTGCCTTCCCCTCCTTAATTTTTGTAGTTATATATGAATGTGCTCTAGATAAAACCATGGCTGTGACCCCCCAATGGAATTACAGTGAAGTGTAGTATTTTATCCTGAATCTACTCTTTATTTCCTTCAGTATGTTCAGTTCTCTCTGTTCCTGTTCTGTTTCATTCTAAGTACAATTGCTGCTCCAAATTCACACAAGGCCACTTCAAGATCAGAGCTAAACAATTGCAGTTCCATTGTAAGCCTGTGTCCTTACCTCACTCTCTGTTCTCACCTGGGCAAATAAAGAGATATGGCAAAGATCTTCAGCTTTTGTTAAGATTAGCAGTAGTTGAGAGGATATCTGGGAAGCCTGCTCCTGAAATGCTGCATCACTCTCTGACCAAGAGCTTATCATATAATGGGGTGAATGAATCACATTACTCATGGGAAGCTCTTTATTCTTATTTGTGGACCAACTTCCAGCATTCATGTGCCTGTTCACAGAATTGGCTCTGAGTTAGTTGAAGGGAGTCAGCATTTTACGGTAAAGACCCCTTAAACGCTGTTATAAGGGACCACTGTAATATTAATCTTAATTTTAAATTATATTACTTGTCCTATTCAGACAAATCTTGCATAATTCTAGAGAAATCTGGTGGGACTCTTGTCTCTAAGCCAAAGTATAACCAAAAGAAAGTGAATCAGATGAACTTCTGGATGTAACTAAGCAGGACAGATAACTATTTCAGCTCTGTGATATGAAGCAGTTGGTTTATTACAGTAGTGTTAACAAACTTTACTGTCTCCACCTCAGCCATGAGGAAGGCAAAACTATTTCTACCCTGACTTCTTAGAGAAGTCCCAACTAGAACAGAATTATGGTATTTTTGTCATACTGTGCTCTGAGTAGGTAATTTCTAAATCTCTGGTATGTGTGGGAGGGTGGCACTTCTTATTGCAAAAATCACAATGTCTTTTCAAGGACAAGTGGCCTGTGCAGGAACTATTCATATAATCAAAGAAACTGCATAGAATACCATGAGCAAGAAGAAAACTCTATCAAAGGGGTAGAGGCTGCTTTTACTTTGTTGTTGCCTGTGGCATGTAGTGGGAACTTTTGCAGTTCAGGGAGTTGCCATAAATAGTTTGCTTCTAGGCAGAGGGACTGCTGTAATGTCTCCCCTGTTGAAGCCACCTTTGTGGGAAAGGTAAAATGCAAGGTTCAATCCTGAATGGAGCTACAGCCAGCACACATCTTTCCTCATCTAGAACACTCCTGTTCTTGCTAATTCCGTGGATACAGCCCAGCTCCTGAAACATTGGTCTCTAATCCCAAAGCTGACAAAAATTTTCTAAACTGATAAAGGGGATAAAGTTTGTGCTAAAGTGTTAGCTCTTTTCCATGACTGCATGTATTTGTGTATGTGTGATCTAGCAAAAATCCCACCCTCCTGTGTCTCTGGCAGGTACATGAAGAAGCAGTTCAACAAATGGAAGGACAAAATACAATTTCTTCACAACTGCCAGGAAGAAAAAAGCTGCAAAATAGAGGCGAAACTCCAAAGACTGAGAGTAAGCCATAAAAACCTACAAATGACACTGCAGCAAATGGAGCAAGAAGTAAAGGTATAGTGACAAATATACCAAGAGTCAGAGCTATGGGCAATTACTGAACACTAACTACTGCTTCCTGCAGACCAGCACTCTTGGTACTATTTCATGCACCTTCCACTAGTATTTTCAGTTATCTTAGATTCTTGTCTTCAGAGAAAGTAGATAGAAGGCAGCAGGGATTTTCTTGTCATTCTGTGTATATTTAGCATCTAGCACAGATACCCATACTGGATGTTTAGATACTACTGCAATGAAAATAATGAATATTCCAATAAGAGTGAGAAAATGGTTTCCAACAGAAGTGTTAAATACTCCACTGCAGTCTTTTCTTCAGAGAAGAGTCCTGTGTTGGCATTGAATAAATAAAATACTCTTTTGTCATTCCTAATTACCGTCTTTTACTGGAAAGTAATACAGACAGTATTACAGAAAATATTTTATTTCTTTTCAATTGTATTGATTCTTGGTCATTAAAATTATTTGTGAGATTCTAAAAAGGCCCTTATTTCACAGAGAATGTATACATATTTGCCACCTACAGCATTTTGTAGCATTTTCTGCAATGCTGCTTTAGTACTACTGGCAAGCCAAAATATCAGTTATTTTCACGATGTATTTTCTGTGTTTTTTCTATTGTAGACAATGTTACAGTCATCAGAACGTCCTTTTGCACAGTATCAGAATACAATGCCAAGAAATCCCCCTGTTCTGCTGGAAAGGAAAATGCAGGGTGGATTAAATCCTGCCCAAATAAAGCCTACTTCCAGAACATGTGCAGACTGGAAATCTTTGAGTCCCCCCAACCCTGCAAATAGAATGCAGCTTTTACAGACACCTGAGGTTCCCACTGCAGTGGACTTTATGTTTTCAGATGACCCACTGGAGTCAGTGTCCCTGCAGAGTAACAGACCTTTTATGGGACAGTATAAAAAAGCAAATGAGAATCAAACATATCTGCCTAAATGGACAGAAAACTCTCTCAGTGGCGTCATGAGGAATACAGTTCTTACTCCCCCTGCAGTGCAACTACCACCTGATGAGAAGGAAGTCAGAGAGGAAATGGAGCTGCAGCAGCTAGTGATGAAACTGAAGGATGGATTGTCTCTCCAAACCCAACCAGGTATAAGCTCTCCCAGTAATCTCGACACTGTCTTCTCACCTTCATCCAGTTTACTCTATAATATTGTTCATAATCATTTAACTCTTCAAGGAAATTCAGAATCTTGCCTTAGCCATTGTAGGAGTATTCAAGCTCTGTATTGTAAGGTAGAGCATATTCCAAATATAACCCTTAATGTTTGACTGATTTGAAACTGGATGAGTTAGAGCTCATAAGAGAAAATCAGTCTCAGCAGTTAACTAAGGAGCAAAGTTAAACTGGTGAGGGCACTGGAGGTCTTTGCTATTACCACTTCTGTGACACTGTAACTATGACTCCAGTCACAGGCAGACTTCCAGCAGTACAAAATTCCTATGTAATCAATGATCTTACACAGCAGGGCTTTGTTCAACACTTTTGATAATGAGGATGTAATCAGGAATATGACATAAAAGGCTGCCATTTCTACAGAGTTATCTTAACTTAAAGATTTATAGACAGTTTTCCAGGGCTCTGGCAGCATTCAAAAGCTTAGAAAGACTTAAAATCTGTTCTACTTTTCAGCCCAACAGACTACTTTGCAGCAGGAGTTGTTCTCTACAGCTGAGCATGTTTGCAGGTCCTTTTCTGACCTCATCAACCAAGTAATTTCACCAGCTTGTGAATGATGGAAACCACCATTCACCTTTACAGCTTCACTGAACTACTTAAGGTAATTGATGCCATGTCAAACTCTTTAAAGAGTCTCAGGTGTTGCATTGTAATAACACAGCATAACAGATTTCTGCATTTAATGACTTCACCAGGAACATATTGGAGAACAATATTCCTTTTTTGTGGTTTCCAGCTCCTGTGCAGTGGATTCCTCAGCAGTACAAATGATTGCCCATTTCTCTCTCTTTAGCTGATATCCCATAGTCAAGTTACTTCTTTGTAAGTCACTCAAGTATTTCTTGTTGGTGCCAGCAACAAGGAAAACTTTTTTTTTTTTGTAGTGCACAGAAGTATTTTAAAGATCTGAGAAATGAAAATTATGCAGTACCACTTCAGAGAGAAAAAATATAGACTTAGTTACTTATTATCACAGTTCTGCAGGAGGTGCATAAAAAATAGTGAATGAGTACGTTCATGTGTGTTCAAAACCAGTTATGGTTCAAGAAAATGTGCATAATGTTAAGGATTTTAAGGATGTCACTGAAAGTATACCAGCTTTTCAAGAGAGAAATTCTCCTAATTATTACAGAATTTTTTCTGTGATTACTGAGAAAATAAATTTGGCTTGGGTAAAAGCAAAATATTTTTGAAAGCTTTGGGAGAAAAGTGAGATAAATTATATATTCTGAAGCTTTGCTTCATGTATAATCAAACAGAGTTTAGGCTGATGTGAATGAAAAGACTAATGAAAAATGTAGTGCCTAAAAAAAGCTGCTCAGCAGAACTCTTAATTTTCCACATAGATTTTCCTTGTCTTGTGTTTTTCAGAATTAATTGTAATCATCAAGATAAATCAAAAAATCACAGAATATTCTGTGTTGAAGGGACCCAAAAGGATAATAGAGTCCAACCCCTAGCCCTGCAAAGGACCATCCACAAGAGTCACACATGTGCCTGACAGTATCATCCAAACGCTTCTGGAACTCTGTCAGGTTTGGTGCTGTGACCACTCCCTGGGGAGCCTGTTCCAGTGTCCAGCTACCCTCTGGGGGAAGAACCTTGTTCTAATATCCAACTTAAACCTCCCCTGACACAACTTCAGGCCATTCCCTTGGGTTCTGTCACTGGTCACCCCAGAGAAGAGATCAGTGCCCGCCCCTCCTCTTCCCCTCACGAGGAAGTTGTAGCTGCAATGAGGTCTTCCCTCGGTCTCCTCTGCTCCAGGCTTAACAGATCAAGTGACCTCAGCCTCTTCTCACTGGCTTCCCCTCAAGGCCCTTCCCCATCTTCATTGCCCTCCTTTGGACGCTCTCCAACAGTTTAATATCTTTCTTATATTGTGGTGCCCCAAACTGCCACAATATTCAAGGTGAGGCAGCCCCAGTGAAGAGCAGAGCAGGACAGTCCCCTCCTTCGACTGGCTGGTGATGCTTTGCCTGATGCCCCCCAGGACATGGTTGGCCCTCCTGGCTGCCAGGGCACTGCTGGCCCATATTCAACTTGTCATGGACCAGGACCCCCAGATCCCTTTCCACACCACTGCTTTCCAGCCTCTCGTTCCCTCGTCTGTCTGTACATACACGGTTGCCCCATCCCAGGTGCAAAATCTGACACTTCCCCTTGTTGATGGTTGGTGATTGCCCAACCCTCTAATTTGTCAAGGTCTCTCTGCAGGGTCTCCCTGCCATTGAGGGAGTCAACAGCTCCTCCCAGTTTTGGGTCACCTGCAGACTTGCTTAGTATCCCTTCCAGTCCTGTGTCCAATCATTTATGAAGATGAGGGCCTAAGATGGAGCCCTGTGGAACCCCACTAGTGACAGGTCACCAGTCTGATGTTCCCCCCATTGACTATCACCCTCTGTGCTTGACCCATGAGCCAATTGCTCACCCACCACATGATGTGTTTATCCAGCTGTGTGCTGGACATTTTGTCCAGAAGAATACTGTGAGAGACAGTATCGAAAGCTTTACTGAAATCCAAAAAGATTATATCAACTGGCTTCCCTTGATCTACTAGGGGTGATAAAGGGACTGTCTGACTCATTAAAATGGCTAGAAGTCTTATTTTCTGTTGGTAGCACCTCAGCCTTCTTCTTGAAAGACCTTACAGTGTGGTGAGATTAATGAACATTCCTGGTTCTTTCTGCTAGTTTTGGTCACAGAAGGCCTGAATTACACGCACTGCAAACACTCAAGAATTTACAGCAACTGTTAGCTACTGGAAACTAAGAAGTGGTTTGTCTCTAGTAAAGGAAGTATGAAAATGGTGGAAAAAAACTTATTGAGGAAGGGCCCCAGAAAACAAATAGTGATGAGGTCACTAGTAAGTGGATGCAGCCACACTAGCACATAAACAATACAGTGTTAGATAGAAGCTTAATAGCTTTTGCAAGATGCCAGTGCCAAGAGACAAACAACAATCCTAGTTGTTGATTATGGGAAGGTATCCATCAGCTTCTGATGAGGCTTTAAATCTCCATCCAGTGTGTGCATCTGAATTAAAAATGGTTGGAAACAGTGACAACTGACAAATACTAGTTTGGTCTGATGCAATTTCACTGAACATATCTGGAGCCCAAATTCTTACAAATAGATATTCCCGAACTACCATGAACTCTTACTTCATGGCAGTGTGTAAAGACTGAAAGAAGTGTTTTCCCATGCTAAGAAGCAGTTGTTTAGCTCCCAAATACCTACAAGACGAAAGGGACAAAATCATAAGGTCTTTCTTTTGCTGTTACTCAGTTCAGCTGACAAGGAATCAACTTCTGTCAGACATGTTCATCCCATCCTTCTGACAGACTCAGGCTGGGAAACAGTAAGCCAGGTGCAGTATCTACAAAAATAGTCCTAACTCACTCAAAGATCTGCCATGACCTTTGTAAGGAAGAGTAGTAGGAGGCAATGTCCTGTCTGTAAACACAGTAACATTTTGAATTGTTCCTGTAGAGCAGATCTACTTTCACCTCATACTCGGAGTCCTTACTTTTTCTCAACACAGACAACCTTTTGTCATTTGCACTTTATCACATGCAGGTTTACATGTAATGAATTGCATCTCCTTTTTTATTTCAGCACAATTAATTACACAGATTGTGTCCTTTACATCAGCAATTACCAAATGTTCTCCATAGTGTGACCTATATTAGAGATTCATCTGTTTTCTCGGTCTTAACTGCGCATCCTTTCCTCGAAGGCCAAATTTTGCTACAGACTATTAAATAAGAAGCTTGCTGAAGCAGAGAAGTATTGAAAATTTGTTTAAGCTAAATATCATCTTGGCCCATAGTGGTATTTCACCATTTCTGTTGCTATCTGAAGGGAGGAAGAAAGCTGCCATGAGCCATTTCCTAAGGGGTCCTATTGTTGCAGCTGGGATATATCTAAAGTGGAAGCACTAGCCTCTTCCCAAAGGGCCCTGTGGAAAAGCAGCTAAGATAAACAGTACCTGTTCGGGTAATCTGTCTGATTTTATATTTTCTAGAGCTGAAGAGCATATGGGAACAGGTAACATCTGGTCTACTACAATACCAGTTGTATTGTAGTACTGGCTGAGGCATCCAGCCCTTAACACGCTCTTTGTCAGTTGCTGGACTTAATAGCTGTAGGGACTGTGGTTGAAGACATGTCTTATGTTGATACAAAGTTGCATACAATGGGGCTTTTAGATATATTAATATAATTTAGTTAATTAACAACATAGGAACAGGAGAGAGAGGACCTGTTGTAACAATGGTCTTGCTGCCCTCCCACAGGGTAGCAGAGCACACTCATAGGCTGTGGCTGCAGTTGGGGGGGTGTTGCTGAGTACACTAAACTCTGTGTTCTTGTGCTTATCCTGCTTTAGTGTTCCCTCTTCTCTTGAACACTTAAATAGTTTGTTGCATGTGTAACTCGAAGCACAAATCCAGTGCCATTGAAGCTGATAGTCCTCTTACAGTTCTTTGTCTGCTTCCTTAAGATAACAATTTCACCAAGTGGGACTGTGTTTAACCTTTACTTTGTTCAGGTCCAGTAACCATTTTAAGATTTCCTTTACACATTTTGTTACTTGAACCTATTTCTCCAAGTTGGTGAACAACCAGCAAACCAGTTTTTCTGTGGGCATTTGGAGAAAAAAAAAAAAAGAAAAAAGAGCAATGAAATATTGCTACATGCTCAAGGGAAGAAACTTTGAATGAGCAATTAAATATAATTGCCCTGGAAAGCTGAAATTTGTAGTTGCATCCAGCCAGTCAGGCAAAGGAAATGTTTTATCTCATAAAAGCATGAAATGTTACCTGTCCTAAGTTATGTTACATTAGTTTAATATCAAATTGCCTGTTAGGGTTATAAATAACAGAGGAAACTGATTTTTCTACAAAGAGCTTGCAAACGAAAACAGAAGCAATTGTAAGTTATACATGAGTTTCTTGTATTAAACACTTTAAATGAGAATGTGTAACATTTTAAGTAGTATTTTTAATAACTAAGAATTTAGGGAAAATATCATAAAAATATAATGTGAAAGCAGAGGAGCTGGTAAAATCTGTTAACCCTTTTACTTTTGCTGGAAAACTTAAAACGTTTTTGGAAGGTATTTTTCATGTAAAAATATGTACTATTTTTCTTTTAGTAGGATGATGTCTTTGAGCAGTGATTGCTTTGTGCAAGTGTACAGCTACACATACAATCAAAATCACCATCTTGACTCTAATCCAGTCTTGGAACCAGTGGAGGGTTTTTGATAATTTCCTTCTCTGCTTGTCTGTGTTTTGTTGAAGGATCAGTTATTTCCTGTTTTGGCACCCAAAATTGTGCCACGTGTGAATGGGTCACATGTATTACTGAGATACACACAGATTAAAGTAGGCAACTGCTTATAAATCATGCAGTTTATTAAGGAGATGAAATTAATAGATAATTAAAAAAACCCATAAGTCCAAGTTAATCGGAGATATGGTGCCCATGCTTACAGGCCTTTTTCTACATGTAAATTGACATCAGTGAGGATTAGAATGCAAAAAATAAAGAGAAGTAATTAAAAAATATCTACAAATCAAGATCTTGAACTAAAAGTGTGATTTCCTCTTTTTTCCTAGCTCTCCAATGACTCTTCGAAGTAATGTAGGTCTACTCTTATGCATGTGGATACTTATTAAATCTTCAAATGAGTCTCTCTTCTTCAGAATTGGCGACCTCTGAATATGAGAAAATATCCCTGAAAAGTGACATGAAAATGCATATAAATAAATGATTTCCAAACAGCAAAGAGCAGCTGAATACTCAGTTTCCCACATCTGTTTCTTCTGCTTTTAGCTGCTGCTGGTCCCCATTTTATCAGCATTGCCCCCAAACCTCTTGCTTTGGTGATATCCATAACCCTCCACTTGCAAGAGTTGCATTTCAATGCCAGGTTACTTTCATCTTTTCCCCCAGTATGGACCTTTTCCTTCAATCTTCTTAAAAAACTCTTCTACTTGTAATTAGCAGCACTTAAGTCTGCTCATAATCTTACTGACTCACCAGCTTGTTATCAACCTCCCTGCACAGTGCATGAGATCTCTCACACTGTTTGGTTGCAGATTTGTTATTTGCTTGAGGAACTATGGGACATTTTCTTTACAATGATCTCTAAAAGCCAGCAAATTGGTTTTCTTTCTTTTAGACATATTTGCCTTCTGAAAAATTAACTGACTAATACTGCTTATTTACCAGACCTCAAATGTACAGTAGCATCTGCTCCACTACCCTCCCTAACACCCTGCAACATTGGGACAGCAAATTATGTGTCTTGGGCCAAGTGCAAGGGCTGTTCTGAGCCTAATTAGCTGTACCTGTGAGGGAGGTGTGCACAGCTGTGGCCACTGAGTGGCAGAGGGACTGCTGAGCAAGGAGAAAAGGAGTGGAGAGATTTTTGTGGCTGCAGTCTTCAAGTGTTTATAGTGGGGATGTGCTATGTGGCTTCTTGAGGAGGATTTTTTAGCTGCTCTTCAGGAAGATTTGCTGTGAGTACAAAAGCTATGTTTTCCTTGTGGTTCCAAAGTCATATTTTGGTTCATTTTGGAAATGCCTTTATGAAATCTGCTTTTTCATAGTCTTTTGGATTTTGTTAGGAGAAAGATGAGTTACTAAAGATACCTTGGCCAGGTAACTGTGGAAGACTCTCCCTACTTGTCTCATTCCTCATCACTTGCTAGGATGTGATTTCTGTTTGCAATTATTACCAATTGATTTCTGCTTTCACTGATGAAATAAGGCAGTAGGATCAAGGGTTACAAAGATTAAAACAACCGGCTTTGTTAAGAAACTGTGAGACTTGGATGAGAAGTTAGATAGCTCCTCCAAAAAATAAAATTTAGGCTGTCACTGCTATAAGCTGCCTGCTATAGCCTGATGTTAATCAGTTGTACAGAAAAATCAGATTAACTGATTACAATTCACAAAACAAAGAAGGAAAGGAAGGAGTCTTTGTTTTTCTTAAAGTATGAATACTTAGTAGTGCTTAAAATCTCTGTGTAAGTGTAAACAAAAGTCAGTATTTATCACAAAACCCGTAATTTGATTCTGCAAAGTACATCTGTTACGCTTAATCTTGACTAGGAACAAAAGCTCTTTGTTTAGGAAAATCACGATGTGATATAGATATGAAGAGCTAGATGTAAACAAAAGTCTAGGTGGGAGTTTAGACAGGGATATTCAAAGCTGCAATCCTGAAAACAAACATTAATCCTGGGCTTTCGCCTGATGAGCATCTAAGTTTTTAACAATACTACTGCCTCATGTGTCTAAAGCTGCATTCTCTTTACACCCAAAAGTGCATCAGTCTGGTAAGGACTGAGCAACTTGTTGCCTTTGTGATGTCTAAGACCAATTGGAAACTGGAAGTTCCAACATGGTTAAGATCCAGTCAGAGCAATGCGATAGCTCAGATTCTTTGTGGAGCAGGATAGGGTACACTCCTTGCTTTTAAAATGCAGGTAGTGGTTGTTTGGCTCATATTTTAGAAACTGACCCTGTGTGTGTGCTTCTTCAGTCTGAGGGGATTGATTCAAACACAATTCCTATATCCTAGCTTAATGGCTACGACACTGTCTCTAGGTAACAGGGGTAAGGACCTCTTAATCCTTCCTATCTCAAATCTCAGCTTTCAATACTCAAAAAAAATGTTGAGGCTTGTGGGCCAGAGCTGGACTGTCCAGTGGTATAGTGTCCCTGTGGTGCAAGAACCCTGAGTTCAAGTCCATTTTTAGAGATACTCTAATAGGTAATTGCCAAGAGAGGTTCTTCATTATTCCATGGACATTCCCCCCAAAACACCTTAATAACTCAGATGCCGACCTAGGAAGTGGAGATACAGGTCTCAATCTGCTTAAGTGTAAAGAGTGTTCTGCCTTCTCACTATAGGCCCAATGCACTACAGCTGTTGGTGATGGCAACAGCCATTCTACCTCTCCATTAAATCATAGCACCTGCCCCTATCTGAAGTGGATATGCTCAAGGGAAGGATGCATCTGTTGGCAGTAGGATCAGAACTGAAGCCTTGGAAGGGACTGAGATTTAGGAAAAGCTATGCTGTATCTCCCTTCTGGTAATGGAGAGGGTAAGTGACATGCATATGGAAACACTTTAAGCCTAGGGGTTCTGCTCTGGGGCTGGGAACCTGGAGATAAGGAATTGCAGCATTTAATGTCACACATAGTGGTGTCTTCCTGAAGCTGTAGCTGTGCCTGAAATCCTACATGCATCTAAGTCCTAGTTCTGTTTCCACTGTGTGTTGGGTAAAGTTACCAGTATGGAAATGGAAACTAGTGGTTGACTGCTAGATGGCAAGTAAACATACCCTTCCTCTTCTGCTGAAAGACTACCATGCTTCCCAACAGCACCAGTGCCCTGCATTCCTGAGGTGACACACCTCTCAGAATGGGGAATTCGGAATTAGCCTGTATTCATAGCACAATAGTGGTAAAAATGCTGGTGTGGAAGAATATATTTGTATTTTCAGTTGCTGAGCTGCCTTCTTTGTTCTAATCCTCCTATGTTTCACCTTCTGAGCCCCTCCTTCTCCATCAAACTGAAACTTAAAAGCTGTTGTTACAGTTCAGGTTGTCTGGAGGTCAAACTTTTGCTGAGATCACATTGAACATAAACATAGCTCTGTACTTGATTAGGAGGAGTTTGTGCAGCGCTGTCCTCTGTTTCTGTACTATAACCACACAACACAATAAGACTGCATCTCTTTTCTTTTCCACTAGACTCTAGTTATTGCCCATGAAACTTGTATTAAAGGAGCAGTGACCTTGGTTTCTCCCTGTAAACTGAGAATGTAGAGTAGCAGTCTTCTGCTCAGCTTCTGCTAGCTGCCTTCTCCCTAGGCCGTGGGTTCTGGAGAGCACACAGTCCACATAGATATCCCAGAAGAGCTGAGCCAGGTCCCAGAACAAAGCCCCATGTTTCAGGTTCTCTGATGATTTCAAAAAAATCATGAAGTCCCAAAAGCCGCTGACAGAGTCAGAAATGCGAGGCTTCCTCATCTCCAGTAAGACAACTGAGGAGGATTCCCAACACTGGGGATCTGCCCACCCAAGAGCTAGTGGATCAGTTTGACTATGGCAGAGGAAAGGTGTCATGCAGAATGCTGCCATGATTAGCAGAGAGCAGGTGAGTCTCATGTTACAGTGGATTCTTCCTCTGCTCCCAAGGTCCATTGTGTCACTAAAATATAAGAAAACCAAAAGAAGCTGAAAATTTTCTCGCTTTTAGATGCAGAATCATATAGAAGGCACTCAAATGGTAATTGTTTCTCTGCTCCTTGAAGATGTGTGTATGCTTTTTTACATGTGTGAATATAGATACTAGAGGAGTTGCAATACTGTGTGCAGCAGAAGCATGTGTAAAAATTTGCTAATCATCTTCAAATCTGTATGATGAACTCTCTTATTTGGAACTTCTTCACACTGAAAGTTTTTTACCTTTCTTGATTTACAGATCCCTACTTTTTCAGTAAAAATCCATTCCTTTTTACAAATTTTAAGCCTTTAGGCAGTCTTAGTTTTCTCAAAATTTTACGAGACCTTTCAAAGAGTCTTCAGAATCACAAGCATCAGTGGAGCAGCAGGTGGAAAACTTGTTGAAAATGTGTTTTAATGGTTCTAGTTAATGAAAGTTGCAAATTCATCCATTGACCAGTGGTGTTTTGCCTGCTAAAATGCAGTACAGTTCTGAAAAGAGAGTATAGCAAAGCCATGGCATGGCAGCTGTATTGTACAACATGTATACATGCACATGGAATCATACGACAGTTTGGGTTGCAAGGGACCTTTAAATGTCATCTAGTCCGACCCTTGTCCTATTGCAACAGGCCCTGCTAAAAAGTCTGTCTCCAGCTTTCGTATAGGCCCCCTTTAAGTACTGGGAGGCTGCAATAAGGTCTCCCTGAAGCCTGTTCTTTTTCAGGCTGAACAATCCCAACTTTCTCAGCTTTTCCTCGTAGGAGAGCAGTTTCAGCCCTCTGATCATTTTTGTAGCCCTTCTCAGGACTTGCTCTAACAGGTCCTTGTCTTTCCTGTGCTGATATATCTATATATCTCTATATATATGAAGTACAGATGCTTGTTGCGGATCACTAACAATTGTCTGTTAAAACTGTGAAATTTGAGAAGTAGCACCTATAATGGTTAGAGAAATCCTGAGAATTATAACTTTTTGTGGACAGAAAGGCCTAGTTGTCTCTGTCAGTTTTCATTTCTAATATGTGCTTCTATGTTGAGTTTTCAAACATGCTTCTGGAATTTTTAAGATTCTGATGAGTTTGGGGATTGATTTTAATGTTGTTCATGGCATATGGAGAACTTTCCATTTGTGGAAATCAGCAACATCTGAGATCTGTGTTTAGGACAAACAATTCTGTTTAACATATATGCTGACCATCTAAGTATTCACGCTTTTACATTTCCAGTTTGATTGTTGGCAGGGGGTAAGCTACCTCTCTTAATGAGCTTAACTTGATAATCAGCTGGCTTTTGGTGTAGAAAGTCTCTTCCATGAGTGATCATGCAGAGCAGAAGAAATGTTGCTTTGCTGTGTGAAGGAGAATGCCAAAGGCGGGATATGGATGTGCAGAGGGATTGTACATAAAAGGTAGCTCAGACACAAGCCTGTGTGCAAGACTAGAGAAGAGTAGGCTGCTTTGTGGAACATATTTCATTGTAGAGCTAAAAGACTCTTCAGAGACTTCAGTCCTGGCAGTGATATTCTTACCTGGCCCCCTGTCTGGTCACCTGGTCGTGTTCTGGGAACATTTTTTAGGTATTCAAACTTTACTCTCCAACTGCTTGCAGTCACTCTTTAATCTGATTTGGGATTTTGTGAGAACTGGTTTAACAGCCTTGGCTCTGAACCTTCCATTTAATGAATAAAAGAGGGCCAGCTTGCTCTTCCCATCCTGCTCTGCCTAGTGGGATGTCACTTATGACAGTAATGGGGCTGTCCTTTTGCTGCCCCTAAGATCTCCAGTAGCATCATTCTTCTGTACCTTACTGCACAAGGCAGGTTTTGATTGCTTTCTCGGAAGCAAACCAAAGGACATCCTGTGAGTCACTATTTCCTTCTTGTTTGTGCATCAGAGCCCTTCCACTGGGCAGCAGACACCTGTACATATATGCTATGCAGTATGCACATACCTATCTGTTTACTGAGACTTATTCAGGAGACATAATTGACTTTTTTTCCAAGCTTCTAGTTTTCAAAGCAGCCTAGAAATCTCAGATATGACCATGGGGGTGGGGAGACAGATACAAGACAGCAGTGGGGGGGGGAGCCCCAACACCAAATAGTTCAGACAAAGGAGTAATAATAAAATGGGCTAATAATACTAAATAATAATAAAATAATACTAAATAATAATAATCCTTAAAAGGATGGTTCTGTGACTTGGACAGGGCACATCTGGTTTGTACAGGTTAACAACTGAACAGGTTGCTTTGCATTTTCTGCTCCCCAGCATCTATCAGAAACTTTCTAAGTTACAAAACTGAGTAAGACAAGGGTTCTGGATTTGTCAGAACAAAGGGACAGCCCTGGGTAGGGCATTAATATGAGGGTGGGTGCCCTCGAAGGTGTGATGTGAATGCCATTAGTCAGGGCCAGTAGCTAAGGCTGCTAATCCTTATAGTCTGATCAAACTTAGACAGCACTGTGCTGTTAGCCTTCCACAAGGTTCAGGATTTTATTTTTTAAATAGTTGAGCACTGAGGGCATGCTCAGGAAATGCCAGATTTCATTAATCTCTTACTTGTGCCTGTGGTGAATGCTTCCATGCAATTCCGCCCCCCACCCCCAATCTTTAGGTCTTTCTGTCCGTAAACTGAAGTTTGTGTGTGTGTGTGTGCATGCAATTTACACCTTCCGGCTCTGACTTTTTTTCCCCTCATCCCCGCTTCTCCTCGCAGTTTCCTCCCCCATTCCACTCCCCGTCATGAATAATGCCGTGCAATAATAATTTAAAAAGTTAATCAGTTCATTCGTTACCACCATTTAACTTGTAGCTCTCAGTTATTAAGTTTCTCGACCCTGGAGCTGCCGCAGCCGGTCCGGCGCACCAGGGGCGTGTGCCCGCCCGGCGCAGCGCCCGCGGGGATCCCCGCGCCGCTCCCGCCAGGAGCCGGGCAGTGCAGCCACTCCAGCGCCGCTCCCGTCCCGTCCCGCCCGGCTGCGGCACCGCCCGCAGCCTTCATCCCTCATCCCTTACCTCTGCGCTCCGGCGAGCAGGGCGGCCCGGGCAGGGCAGAGCTCTCCACGCCCGCTGCCGCCGCCGCGCTCCTTAAGAAGCCGGAGCGGGCAGCCCCGCTTAGTTTTTACGTCAGGGCTCGGGAGCAGCCCCCACCCCCGGGGCCCGGCCGCTGCTCCCGGGCACCCGGAGCCCCCTCCTTCCCTGCGCGGAGCTGCCCCTGCTGCAAGCGTGCTCTGCTTCTCTGCCCTGCCTGTTCCCCTCCGCTTGCGGACCCCGGCCCGCCCGGGAGCAGCCTGGTAGCTGTGCTGCCTCTGGCCGAGGGGAAGCTGTGCACAGGGGGCTGGAAGAGTAACAAACTTGGCAAAGCTGCAGCTCTCCTCTTGCCCCCTCTCCTACTGGTGCTGCATCGGGGGGGAGGCAGAAGGGGAAAAGTAGAAAGCAGGTCCCCACCTTGGAGCTCAAGTTGTCTAGACCTGGCTCAGTCCTCAGGTATCTTGCTTTCTGTGCTTGGCTGCTGGAGGTCCCTCCACCCCAGAACAGAAGTCTGTGTGACACAACTAGAGCTGTTTGCTGGCTAGAGGTCAGCACATTCAGCAGCAGGTCCAGCTCTCCTGGGAGTTGAAGCAGAGACCCAGACAAGAGCAGAGTCACAGAAGAAAGCCAGTAAAGGCATTAATTGCTGTAGTGGGGCTGAGATGCACTCACTGCAGCGCAATTTACACAGCTTTACCTGAAGAAGAGCTACCTTGGAGGGCTGCTCACTTTCCAATGGAGAGCCTTGGCTACATTTTCCCTTCCAAGAAAAATTATGTGGTCTGTTATTGCTGCGTTTTCTCTCTGTGAGGTGCTTTACTGGAGCCTCTCTCCCTTGTCACCTCTTTGTAGCTGCTATCAAACCTCTGTATGTGTTGGTGAAATGGGCTAAGCTGGTAGGGAAGTTCATAGGCCAAACCAGGTAGTGCTCTGCTGTCTGAAGCCAGTGCAGCTGCACCAGTCCATACCAGCTGGGCAGCAACCCACTTGTTTTTCCAAGACTTTCACTGGCAACTCCCTCCTGTCTTTGCACTTGGAACCATAATCCCTTCTCCAGGAAGCAACTGTGCTTCAGTAGCACTAGTCTTATCTTTATTAAAGTCAGTGGGGCCACATTGGTTTATATCAGCTGCAAAGTTGTTGAAACACTGGTTTCTCTGTTGTTCGTCAATACCTTTATAATTTGAATTCTTTCTGTGCATCCAGTCCATGCAAATGGTGAAGCATCTTCCTTTTCTAACCCTTGATCTTGTGATGTGCCTATGACAATAAACACTGCTTTTCTCCTGATGCTTTATCTCCTCTTCTCAATAAGCAATGCCTGCGAAGGTGTATTTTGTGTAGGTAATGCTACTGTTTAACAAAAGTGAAAGGAAATTCCTGTGAATGGGAGAACATCCAGATAGAACCCCTGTAAATGGCTATATTGCAAATTTGCAAATGTTCCATTTACTTATCAAGAAGTTTGGGGTTGGAAATGAGGGAATAGTGATCACCAACTGCTGAAACAGACTTCGGGATGAACTGAAGAGTGCAATGCCTTGCAAGGGGCCCTTGCAACATGGTGGGGGAAACCTCTCATATATAGGATCTCCAGCAGTTCTTCTCTGTGCTATTGAATACAGGCTGTTCCAGTAGACTTTCTTCTCCCAGGTTCTAGGGCTGAAACGATCTTTAAGAATCAGCTATTTTTTTTTAAGTCTGCTCTGTAGGAGCTGGTTCTGGGCCCGTGTGCAATTTAGAGCCTTTTAGGAAAGTGAGTAACCAGCGTACTACTCCTCTGTGTTGGAGGACTGAACTGGGCAAGAGAGAGAAGGGAAGTGTACCTGTAAGACATATATGTTGTGATGTAACCGAAAGGCAGCTCATGGGTAGAAAAGGCTCTGAGGCAGCTTGTGTTTGTGGATGGCCTGGGTATAGGAAGCCAGACCAGAGCAGGACTAA